CCCTTGCCAGACAAACCTAGAAATATATTTTTGGTATTCCTTGAAGCATCTTGTTCTGCCTATTGTTGGAGCGGTTTGAAATAAAATTAGGCAAAATATTCAAAATTATTCCCATTAGAGAGCATTTCATTCTTTCCCATAACTCAAGATTTTTTCTTATTTCTTTCCATGTCTTTACATAACTATCTTGAAATATATTGGAGTTTTTCGCAGTTAACCATATTTCCAGATACTTCACCTATTTCTCAGGTCACCTGCCTTGGGGTGGTATCCTGTTGGGATAGCCCCATGGTCATCATGGCAGCCAGCAAGTCCTGAGCCACCCCAGAGCCAGCTGCCTTGGCACAGATTTCAAAGTCTGCCAGCACCAGCAGTCGGGGAGTCCTCAATTCTGCCTGCGAGACCAGCTCTGTCAGCTCAGGCAGGGAGACCACTGGGCAGAGAGGCCATAGAGGGCAAAGGAAACAGGAACCACCCCTCAAAAAGACCCCAGCCCAAAATCTGTTCAGCCCTCTCCGCTTTTTGTAGCTGGAGTCAGTCTAGGCTCTGCCCTCCCAAACCAAGTGGGAAAGGCCTGCCAGGCAGGGAGCAGGTCCTGCAGGACTCCCAGCAAGGAGACCTGGGAGGTGTATCTTGGGCAACCATGGGACAAGGGAATTCGCTGTCCCCAAGGTGTGGGGCTTACCTTCTTTCAGATTTTGCCGGAAGCAGGCCAGCTCTGGCTGAATTACTGTCTTCTGCAAAGGAAAAAAAATCTGGGTCAGATGACACTACGAACCCCACCCTGGATGGGTGCAAGAGAGCACAGAAGCAGCCCCATGCCAGGCAGGACAGGTCTCCATATGGCTTGGGCCCCAATCCCTTGCCCCAGAGGACCTCCCTGGGCCCTGCAGCCTCCTGGGAAGAGGTGGAAGGACAACACCAGGAAAGGGGGCAAAAAAAGCCTCTGGCCTCATCCTGGCACCCAGGGACGCACACTGCATCTTCTGCGTTAAAAGTCACTGGGGAGTGTGCTCTTGGGGGGATGGAAGTAACCAAAGAAATGAATACAAGAAGGCAAGATGCTTACTTGGGGGGAATCTTCGTGAAACAGCCAACAGTAGAGAAATGCTGCTAGCTGCTAGTTTCCTTTCCTCCTCACTTCCCCAAAGGGCATAATATGGGATACAAGAAGGCAAGATACTTACTCTGAGGTGGGGGAATCTTCGTGAAACGGCCAACAGTAGAGAAATGCTGCTAGCTGCTAGCTTCCTTCCCTCCTCACTTCCCCAAAGGGCATAATATGGGAGGTCCTGCGGGAGGAAAGAGTGTCTCAGAGTCAGGGACCAGTCTGGGCCAAAGTGGCCCTCCACTGCCCCCATCACAGAGTCCCTGGCACTCCCAAATCATGAGGGTTGCCAGTTTTGGTCTTGGGCCAAATTGGGACAGGGGACTCCATGCCCCAGAAATGGGACAGTCCATTGGGTAAGGGACAGGGGGCAACCCTAAAACCACTCCTGATGCTATCAGGACACTTACAGTGAGCAGCTGGAGGAGGGTGCCAGCATTGGGGGCTTCCAGAAGGAGACTCTCCAGCAGTCTTTGGAAATGCTGCTTCAGTTCCTGTGGGAAAAGAGAGAAGAGAGGTTGAGTGCTGGGTTAAATCTTGCAAGGGTGTGAGAAGAAGAAAGAGCTGGGCAAAGGGATGTCAAAGCAGAGGACATAACATCTTTGACCTCCTCCTTTTCTGAACCCCCAAGAACAGCCTCCATTGTCGTATGCAGGATAGCACTGATCATATCGCAGCTGAAATGGGGTCTCATGAAGCTGGAGAGAGAAAGGGAAGCAGTAAGACGCTGCCTCCTCCAAGTCTCCCTTGCCCCTTTCTTCCTCCTGCCTGCTTTTGCCCACCCAGAGCTCCACCTGGAGTTCTGCCCCCTACCCCGCAACCCCACCCACTCCAAAGACCCCACTCACCTCAGCTGGAGGAGGGCCTCCAAGGCCAGGGCCAGGCTCAGGGGGCGATCCCTGAAGCGCTCCAAGTGGCCAAAGATGTCCTGTAAGAGAGCAGAGGAGGAAAGTCAGCTCCTTCCAGGGGTCTACGGAGGACGGCTTCGACCCCAAAAGCCAGGGGATTGGCAACCCTGCCCTAAGCCAGAAGGGTCCTCCTCTCTGGCAGATGCACAAGCCCTTTCACAAAGCCCCTCCCTCCCCATGGGGGTCCCTCACACCACCCATTACTCACCATGATGGCTTGGGCCATCTCCTGCTTACTCACCATGATGGCTTGGGCCATCTCCTGCTTACTCACCATGATGGCTTGGGCCATCTCCTGCTTGGAGCACTTCAGGGTGTGGAGCCCCCTGAGCCGAGCTGCCTGGCAGTTCTGGATGACCTCCAGGAGGTACAGCTGATCTTCCTCCAGCAGCTGAAATGCAGAAGTCAGGCTGTCGGTTCCTTCTGGGGGGAGGGCTCCTCCGCATCTGAGAGTGCAGAGCGCAGAGTGGAGGGCAAAGAGCCCGGGCAGCAGGGGGCAGGTCTGAGGGAACCACTCCCTGCTCTTGTTATATCCAAATACTCACCCCTAGGGAAGGGATGTGGAACCCTAGCACATCCCTAAGCCCCTGGCAAGGCTATTCCAATAGTTTTCTCCTGGATTCCAAGTCCTACTACAGGGGAGGGACACCCCAGCCCCCCCCTGCTTCCTCCATCAGACCCCACAAAATGGCGTGGTTGCAGGGGGGGGGGTTGGGTTTCCAGACGCTGGCCCAGATGGACCTTGGGTCGGATCCAGCCATCTGGCTCTGTGCATCTTTTGACTAGCTGCCCCACTAGCCCATTCCTGCCCTCCTCTGTCCCAAAACGGAAGGCCATTTGCTCACCTGACACCATGGGCTTCTCTGGGCCTTGCAGGGGGGCCACCCTGTTGCTGCGGCTGATCAGGCATCTTAAGCACCTGAACCTCAAAGAGACGAGCAGAGAGAGCATCTCAGAAGCCAGCAGCCCCAATTCTTGGGGGGTGTTTGTGTGTGAGGAGGGGCATCTGGCCCAATTCCTTCCATCTCTCTGCAGTTCAGTGACCTGAAAGGGCATCACCAAAGCTGGGAAGAGCCCAAAGGAAAGAGAAGAATTGCCAGCTGTTAAAGGGCTGCTCTGCCTCGTCTTCTTAGGACAGCCCTGCCCTTCCTGAAGAGGGAGGAGACCCCTAGGAGGGTCCTCCAAGCATCAAGGTGTCCCAGAAAGGAAAAGAACATGAGGAAGGTGCTGGAGTCTACCTTGGAGCCAGAGAGACCCCCAGGAAGGGGGAGATGGCTGATGTCGTAGGGGAGCTGGAGAGATGCAAAGTGGAGCCAGGCAGAGGTGTAGTGGTTGGAGGGCTGGACTAGGAGGACCTGGGAGAGCAGAGTTCGAATCCCCACACAGCCATGAAGCTCCGTGGTGGACCTTGAGCCAGCCTAGCCTACTTTGCAGGACTGCTGTGAAGATAACATTTGGTGGCAGGGAGAACCATGAAGGCCACCTTGAGCTCCAGGGAGGAAAGTGGGCTAGGAATGTCCTAGACCTAGTAAATGTAAATGATGAGAGGGGAGAGAAAAGGGGAAGACAGGGAAAGAGTGTGGAGGAGCTGAGGTCTCTGGAGAAGACTGGCTGGGTCGATTTCCAGGGAGCTAAGGCTGTGCAGGGGACCCCAGGACTCACCCCCCACCCCCAGGAGACCAGCCAAGCCTAACTCTGACCCCAATCCCAACCCCAGCCCTAAGCCTAACTCTAACCCCTACCCTATCCCTACACTTACGCCTAACTACTCCTTATGTACAAAATAAATATATACAAAATGTGCCCAAATGTGCCCAAAATAAAGATGTAAAATAAAAAATATGAAAATAAAGAACAAAAAATGAAATAAAAAAGTAAAATAAAAGTGTTAAAATAAAAAGTAAAATAATAAATAAAATAAAAATAAATAAATCAAATGAATCAAATAAAAGTAATAAATCAAATAAAAATAACAATAACAAGCAAATGAACACCTCTCCTTATCTTCTCCAACCACCACCAACTCCTCTCTCCTCCACTCACCTCACTACTAACCCACAATGGCTGCTTGCAAGTCAGTGGCTTTTAAGGGAAAGCAAGAGATGTCACAAAGGAGGGCAAGTCCTTGTCACCATGGCAACCCCCACCTGGACCTGGCTCCTCCTGAGAGGTGATGCTCCTCTTTCAGAACTTGGAGGCAGTCCACATCAACAGTAGGCTGCAAAACAGCGAAATTAAGTAAAAAAATCATTCATAAAAATTCCTATTGTGAAAAACAGGTTTTAAGTGCTTATGCTCACAATGTTTAAGTAAATAAACCAGAAAATAATACTTGCAACTGTATCTTATTTTTCCTTCTTTTAATAAGGAATGGGGGGGGTGACAAGAAATTTTCTGCACCTGGTACCACCTGACCTTGCTACACCACTGTGTAGGACGTAAACCAATGGCTTCAAGTTACACCAAAAAAAAAAAAAAAATTCCAACTAAACATCAGGAATGGACTCTGTCCAAAGGTGATGGTCTCTCCTTCAGTGGAGATTTTTAAGCAGATGTTGGAATGGATCTGTCATGCACTGCTTTAGTTGAGATTCCTATATTGCAGGGGGTTGGACGAAATGACCTTCGGAGTCCCTTGCAACTCTACAATGTTATTATTCTATGAATAGTACTCATATAGCTTTAGCTGTGTCTCTGGTTCTCTTACACTGCCGTTATTTTCACGCCAGTGAATGCTCTTGGGCATTATGGGGCATGGAGGGTTGGCAGGGGAATGGTTTGGGAGAGGGAAATCCCTGAGGAGAATGGGGATACAATGGCAGGAAACCGCTGTGCGTGTATAATAAGATAACAGGGAACGGCGGCGGAGGGACCTGAAAGCAAGAGCCGACTTTTTTAACCAGGAAAATTGTCTGACACCAACGTTATAAGGAAGGGAGGGAGGAGGGGGAGGAGGGAGCGGGGATTGGCAGAGGGGGCGGGAAGTCGGCTTCTGCGAGCGGGACCGAGCGTGCGCAGAACTGTTCTGGAGGCGCGAGAGGACGACGGTTGAACTCTGGCGCCGACTCCGCCCACGGTGGGGAGGAGCCACAGGAGCCTCGTGTACTAGTAGCAGCAAGCCGCCGCAGTAAAGTCGCTCTCATGGCGCCCGGGCTGCTGCTCATTTCGGTGCTCCTGTTGGCGCTGCACGTGCGCTTGGTCCATGGCGACACGTGGGATGCAGGTAAACGAAGGTTGCGCTACGAACAGGTGTTGCCGTCACAAGCATTGCAAATAAAAACACCCACAGCAGAGATCCAGCCCCATCCCGTCCATTGGGGAAAGGCTTGAACTGTATTTGGTGCCTGTACCTGAGGTGATTTTACCTCTGCCCTTTGCTTTCCAGCAGCTGCCCAAGGCTGGGTTAGCCGATCCAGAGCACACACACACCTGTCCTTTGCAGTTTTTGTCACTATAAGGGGAGGGGGGGCAGAAGCACCCAAAGAAGATGGAGGTTGAACACCTGCGTTGCATCACAAGGTCCCAGATTTCACCCCTGGCGTCTCTAGGTAGGGCTGGGGGAGATGCGAAATCCTGGAGAGCCTCTGCTAGTCAGGGCAGACCACATTCGTGATTAAGTAGCTTCTGCGGTGTTATAGTCGCAGGATGCTGGCTCTCTGTGGGAGAGGTGATGGGGTGGAATATCCTGGAAGAGGTAAAGGCTAGGCTCCGTCTACACTTCTGCTTGTGCCTAGAAAGCATGAGTCCAAGCGGTTTTCCACTTGCCACACTCATTTCTTTAAAAAAACACCAAACCAAAATAAAGGTAAGGTGAGTTCTTAAGGGAATTCTTTCTGTGCTCAGTTTTGTGTGTTTCGTTTGGGCCAGGATGTAGAATGCTTGGATCTTTCTTAGGATTGTGTCCAATGAAGTAATTATGTTAGTGCAAGGTCTTTACACTTGCACAACAGAACTTTTCCAGCTGTTCTCTCTCTCTCTCTCTCTCTCTCTCCACACACACACACACACACAGGAGTAGCCAGGTGGGTTTTTTAGGGGGGGCAGACCCTCAGTTAAGTATTTTTTATTGATCTGGAGGGGCAGCTGCCCCCCTGCCCTCCCTTGGCTACACGCATGCATACATCCCAGTTTACTTTGGGTTTCCCCAACTCTCTGGAACAGATTGTGGGGGCTTATGGGGAGAAAAGAGGACAGAGAAGTTCTGTTGCACAAGTAGAAGTCCTTGTGCTAACTGGACAACTTTGTTGGATACAACCCTTAGCCTTTACCATCCTATACTTCTGTAAAGAGGGTAGACAATAAAACCTGTTGATTAAATTTCAGGTGGCGAGTGGGCTCATATGGAGAAGGAATAGGCCTTTGTTGTCCAAGATGACATAATGAAAGATGTTTTTAGCTTTGTTTACTAAATTCAGGTGAATAAACATGCAAAATTAGATTTAAGTCATCAGAAATTTGTCTGTTGCAAACAGTTTCTTAGTGCAAATTACCCTAATATGCATTGGGAGAAAACTCAGTTCTAAATTTTTCGGAAAACTCACACCTCTGCCTCTTAATCAGTGGATATAGTTTTTCTAGGCAGGTAAAGGTGTTGTGGGACGTGGGTGGCGCTGTGGGTAAAAGCCTCAGTGCCTAGGGCTTGCCGATCGAAAGGTCGGCGGTTCGAATCCCCGCGGCGGGGTGCGCTCCCGCTGCTCGGTCCCAGCACCTGCCAACCTAGCAGTTCGAAAGCACCCCCGGGTGCAAGTAGATAAATAAGGACCGCTTACCAGCAGGAAGGTAAATGGCGTTCCGTGTGCTGCGCTGGCTCGCCAGATGCAGCTTTGTCACGCTGGCCACGTGACCCGGAAGTGTCTCCGGACAGCGCTGGCCCCCGGCCTCTTGAGTGAGATGGGCGCACAACCCCAGAGTCTGTCAAGCCTGGCCCGTATGGGCAGGGGGTACCTTTACCTTTACCTTAAAGGTGTTGTAGAAATAATAGACAAGGATTCTAAACTGCAGAGCACATGATTCAATAAGAACATGTTTATTCACATCGACACAGTTTTTAATGCTCCACACAGTTTGTGTTGTTAAGATGCATCAAAAGTAGATTATATGAGTCCCTTATATTTTGAGTGTGTTTATAGGTTCTGAAGTAAATAAATGAAAGCTGTAAATGAAGTATCTTAAGGTTGGTTCACACATTAGTGAACCATACATGTATGAGCTTCTGTGAACTGGCTCAACTTCCAACACCAGTACTATTTCCCATGGCTAGAAATTCTCTTTCCAACCTGCACCTTTTTATATTTTGGGCAAGATGATACCCCCTGTTACTCTTGCCCACTCACCTTAAAGCTGCTCCAGCTTCTCTTTGCCAGAGAGAACAAAGAAGGAGCTGCAGAGGCAGTTCTTAATTTCTCTCTCTTTGGCAGCAGTGTTTTTTCCTATTCCAGCTCTTGGCAAGAGCAACCACCAGAAAAAAGTGGGAAAATAGCCCATTCATTTTCTTTGTTCTCTCTGGCATGGAAAGGCTATTACAGTGGCACCTTGGGTTACAGATGCCTCAGGTTACAGACGCTTCAGGTTACAGACGCCGCTAACCCAGAAATAGTACCTCGGGTTAAGAACTTTGCTTCAGGATGAGAACAGAAATCGTGCAGCAGAAGCAGGAGGCCCCTTTAGCTAAAGTGGTACCTCAGGTTAAGAACAGACCTCCAGAATGAATTAAGTTCTTAACCCGAGTTACCACTGTATTGATGTGAAGCTGAGTGGCCAGTGGCATGCATGAGAAGACTCCCCTAAAGGCACTTGTATTGACTGTTAGAACTGGGGCCCTCTGCATATGCACAGAAGCTTCTGAACATCCCAAAATGTGTGTTTTTTTATTTAGATAGTGGATTTCTGCACTTAGATTTTTCTGTTAACAGAAGATTAAGTTTGTGCTTAATTTTTCCATTTGAAATCAAGGTGATATAAAAGAGGTTAATGCTGGATACCTAATACACATAATATTTATATAGATGGGTAGAGAGGCTGCAACTTCAAGGTAATCAACTGAGCAGCTATAGGAGACAAAAAAAGAAAAGAATAAAATGTGTGCCTGTGCTTACATACTTTTGAACTAAACCCAACACATTCCTGGAGAAGATTATACAATTTAGTACTTCTATTGTTGCACATATGATTGTGTAGAGACACATACAGGGAAAAAGTGAGGATTAAGCATTTACTTGGGTTGTTTCTGGGCTCACCAAAAAACAATTTTATTGCTTTTCTTTCCTGCTTTATCTCTTATAAGAAACTTGCTTCTAAATATACAGGCAGGATTAGAAGTGGATGTTGACTTGCTTTAGCTAGAAGTAATATAAGTGTAATAAAATAGCATTTCTTTTTCTTGCGTAACTGCTTTTTGCATGTTTCTATTTTTCAATTTTCTATTGAAACAAGCAACCCACTCATCCTATCTAATCTGTTTTATCAAGGTGGGTGTGAAGTCAGAGTAAGGATGCAATAGTTGCAGAATGTACAGTGTTCTCTATTCTGGCTTGGTGACTGAAGAATCTAGATGGAGGTAGAAGTTAGAAGTTTCAAGAGGAATAAGGGCAACAATAAATTACAAACCATCTTCAATTTAAGTTAGAATATAATAATTAAATTACTTTTTCCCATCTAAAGCTAGATTCAGACTGAATTGTCCTCAAGCACCCTGCTGGCGCTACTGGAATGGAAATTGTTATTGCCTAGAGGCAAATAATACGGGGACTTGGACAGAAGCACTAAAATTTTGCAAGAGATACAGCTTTACAGAATTAGTATCATTTACTAGTAGTCAGGAAATGGTAAGTTGCATGTATATTTACTTTTTGTATCTATACATTGAGGATACTTTCTGCCCAAACAGATACTGCATTTACATAGTATAGTCCACAAAATCACATTAATTAATTAAAAATTGTATCTTGCGAGACCAACAATCAGGGCAGGGTTACAACAATAAGTACATAAAAATCCAGTTAGCAAAACTTTCCTACCCACCTTCTGTTTATAGACACCTCAGTAGAGTATGTCAGTCTTCTTGGAACAGAATAGCACCATTGGATACAACCAATAAAATACATACAAGCAGCATTACAATGATGGATCAGATGAAGCAAATTTAAAACGGGAACAGAATAAAAGGCCTGCAAAAGTGTGTTTACCTGGCACCACAATGACATTAAGATAGGTACCAGGTGAAAAGGCTCACCTAGTCCAGCATCTTGTTCTCTAAGTGGCCAACCAGATTATTAGGTTACAGAATCCTAGGTAACAAGACATTTGACAGTATTGCAGTTTATATTACAGTCTTAGTTATGAATTATGCAACAGATGAGCAGATGATGCTGTTTTTGAGTTACATCAATGAAACCTGATAAAATCGGAAATGATTTTACTGTAACTCAAGAGTAGCCGATAATTACTAGTTGTTCACACCAGATTTGTTCTCACTTACAAACAGATGAGCAATAAGAACTTCTTGATCTTTTTCTCTGTACTCCCGTGTGACATCACAAATCATTTAACTTCTTTGAGCCAACAAATGTTTTCTTATGAATGTCGGGAACGTTAGTATCTTTGAACTAATGCTTAGTGTACTGTACAAGTAGAAACAACATTATTTAAGGGATGTAATATCTAGGAAGGCTTGGAAGGTAGGATCATAAAAAGTATTAGAAAACATAAATTATAAAATAAATAAAAGAGATGTGAGGTCCAGGTGAATATATTTTTGCCGATATGGTTTGTATGTCAAAATATCTTAAACTTTGCCATTGTTTTTCCACAGAACTGGATCTTAGCTTTACCTTTGGATGATTTTTGGACTGGATTGAATAACTTGGAAAATATTAACACTTTTTCATGGTCAGAAGGTACACCAGCAAATATGAGGCTTCCTTGGTAAGATGTGAACCTTAAAAAACAATTGAAGTATGATTTGTTTTCCTCTGATATGATTGTATCAGGGGTGTTTGTAACTATGCAAGTGTATTTTTTCTTTCTTTCACCACTTATGTATTCCATTCATCCTGTGTATTGGGATTTTGTGTTATTGATATCATGGGGTAAACAAATATAGATAAACAAATAGAGAATAATAATAATGAAAAAACAGTAAAAAGATGCTGAGGAACATAGGACTATGGTAAGCCAGAATGTTTCATCAACAGTCTCTCCCCCCCTTTTAATGTGGCAACAAGGCCTATTAGCATTGGCATTCACAAAACTTTTCTTATGTTTACATTTCCATAGAATATTAATAGGACCGTGGTGTAGGCCATTGTTAGAGGGGACCAAGGAACCAGCAGGCATGCCATAGTTAGAGCCATGAATACAACTGTCTTCATGCACAGTCTTAAGTTCCCAGAGAGAACCCTTTTGTAATTCTTTCTGTCTTGGAGGGCCCAGTGGTTCTCTTGGGGCATGCCACTTAACCAGGAGCTCAGAGGGCATACATCTGGAAAAGCCCTTAATTACCAGGAGGAAGGGCAATACACTGGAGACAGGAGACATTACAATATCAGTGTGATCTCTGACATCAGTATTTTGAAAGAGCATATTTTTGCAGTCATGTTTTCACTGTTACATCATGTAATTTTTCTCTTTTGTTGTACTAAAATCTAATTGGAAAGGCTTCAGCTATCGTCCCCAGCCCAGCCAAATACTGTGCATTGTGTGAAAGTTTCCAAACGTCGCTTGGTTGCTTTGCATTGCAATGAAAAGGCCCATTGGATCTGCAAGCGAAATGCAGGTGAGTTTGGTTTTTACAGGTTTTTAATTCCTTAAATTTTTCCAATTTATCTGTGATTTCCAGACAGATATTCAAGTGGTTAGCTTTTTCCTATCCCACTGGCATGGTATATGATGAAATAATCCAAATGCAGATTTTATTGCCTGTATATTCAGAGAAATCTATTGTTTGGTTGCTTTTTCATTTATTGAACTGGTATATCACCTAATGGGACGCGGGTGGCGCTGTGGGTAAAAGCCTCAGCGCCTAGGGCTTGCCGATCGAAAGGTTGGTGGTTCGAATCCCCGCGGCGGGGTGCGCTCCCGTTGTTCGGTCCCAGCGCCTGCCAACCTAGCAGAAGTCTTCACATGGGATTCCACTAGCAGGACCAGACCAGTTAGTTCAATCTGGCTCAAAATATATTACATACAGACTCCACATTCAATCCAACTGCTATTACCGTATTTTTCGCTCTATAAGACGCACCAGACCACAAGACGCACCTAGTTTTTGGAGGAGGAAAACAAGAAAAAAATATATTCTGAATCTCAGAAGCTAGAACAGCAAGAGGGATCGCTGTGCAGCCTGCATTCGCTCCATAAGACGCACACACATTTCCCCTTACTTTTTAGGAGGGAAAAAGTGAGTCTTATAGAGCAAAAAATACAGTAATATATGATACATTTTAAATAAGAGAATTAAGGAGTAAATATATCCACACAGTATACATAAGTAAAAAACAAAAACAAATCATATAAAAAATATGTCAAGAAGAAGTATCATAAATATTACAAAACTAGGTGTCTTCATATATAAAAATACAAATCTGGAATTGAGGAACCAATTGTTATATTGAGTCACTCAAGAATCATACTCTTCATGCATGCACAACTTCACTCCATCCACTCAATTCCATTTAACAACCAGTGTTAAATGTACATGACAGCAGGTGAAAAGCTCAACCCCAATAATTTCCATCCCTTCTCTCACCTCGAGCAATGCAAACACCCTTACCCCATCTTTCATTTAAGCCCTTCTCCACCAACAAACTCTCACCCTGTGGGCAGTTAACCCAGCATACTTAATACCACCTCACAGGGAGCATTGCAATCAATTGACTAAAAATAAGATAAATCTTCCATATAGGACAACATGTCAAATCTCAACAGGGCTCAGCTATAGACCATTTAGCCGAACACCTTGCCATTGTTGACCCTGTGGGAGTTGATAATTCTTGTGATATGTAAAGTTGAATAACTGTTCCACCCATTCTTGCTGCTTTTACTTCGTAGTAATGATAAAAGCCTACAGTGTTACATTATGCTTGAAGTAAAGATGTGTGCCAAATCCTAACTGGCATTTGCACACTTTTAATATATATTGGGAATTGATTCCAGTGTGAGTCTGGCAATTTTGTGCAACTAATTTAAACTGGTTGCATTACTGTGTGGCTTCTATTTCCTATTGCAGCTGTTGACCGGTACCAGGAACACAAAGGAAAGGTGCTTCTATCACCACCAGGCTCTGTATCTCAAGTACATGCAGATTTGATTTCTGCAAAGGCAGCATGCTTGGAGCTTAGAGAACAATGTACAGGGATCACTATCTGGAATAATGCCTATGCAATTGCTAGAGGAACTGTATTGCTAAAAAGTGAAGAGCGCTGGTCTGCAGCATATGTCAAATCAGGTTGGCCAAACATTCTGTAGATTGCAGCTCACAGTATTGTATTATGCATTATGTGATAACAGAAAAACTGACTGATACAATTTATAGAACTAGGGACTGAGCATTCTGAGATGTAATCAGAATGTGAGTTCTTTGCCTTAAATGAAAAAGGCTTTAAGTTTCAGCTGAAAGAAATATAAAATTAAAATGCTGCATTTTGAGCAAACATTCATTTTGATAGCTTGCATGTTTTATTCTCATTTCAAGAGCAGAATCTTTGTGGAAAGTATTTTGATAGTGTGAAGAAAGAGTTTGAGAGAGCTTGGCATAAAAGGGAAAGAGGAATGGATATTCTGTACACTACTTGGGTACTCTCTGTATAATGGTTTATAATTTCTGAAATGAAATAAATAAAACCTAAGTATTAGATGACCAGGAGAAGAAACAGAGAACTGTGGAAGGCAAATAGGTTATTGTTATGTCCTTTTTATTATTTTTCATAGATTGCTCCTTGGGTTACTTTGGAAAGAACTGTTCCTCTGTTTGCAGCGGATGTTATGGTGATGAATTATGCAATCCATACACTGGAGTTTGTGATAATTTTCATTCTTGTAGAGCTCAGGACTCGCCTACTATTTGTGATCGAGGTACTTGAACAAAGCTAGTAGGGGATGAATTGGGAGCAGAGAAGAACTCTTTCTACCGTGCAAAACTAAATGTAAACGGAAAAAAACTTTCAAGAAGCACCAATAAATATAATAGTGTTATTCCTAACTCTTCATTGCACATGACATACCTTAGCTTGGGAAACCTTGTAGCAACAGCCCAGGCATACCAGCTTTTCTGTCTCTGTAACATTTTAGCTATGTGACTGAGCTGGTGTTTTCACATTTTGATATCTACAGTGTTGCACATGATTAATTCCCAATAAGTTTATTCCATCACCTATTCTTCAGTGTTTGAGAGTGGCTGCATACTTATATGCACACACGGTTGCCATGGGTACACAAATGTTTTCTGCAGCAAGCACATAAATTGTGGGTGACATACCTTTATCTTTGAGCCACCACTATACGGCCTATTACACTTATGTGTGTTTTCAATTGGATTTGCGTAATATAGGCATTCTGGTGGTTTATGACCATGTAGATCCTGACAAGTTTATCCACAATGACGTGCCTCTTGTGCTATGTGTAGATGCATTCTGTCAGTTTATGTGACCCGTATGCTCTTACTAAGCTACCTTGTTTAAGCCCCATGTTCAGAATTGAGTGTGGTGGGAATGGATGCCTCCAGTTCCATCTGTGGGTTGTGAGTTGTTGTTTTTGGTGGCCATGTTCTTCTTCCTTATGACTTAATTTGTAGAATTTCTAAAATTAATTTTGGAATTGGTGCATGTGCAGTTTGCTGCAGTTTTTACCTTGTGTCTTCCATTTTACGGGTTACTGCAGTGTGTGATTACACAGGACAGAGGGCCACAACTGTTGACTTGTCTCATTAAGCATCCTCTTGGTGTTGTTGTTTTTTCTAATAATCGCTTCTTACCCTGCCTAAGTTCTTTAGCATGTACAGAATGCTTCATAGAGAGGCTGGGATTTCTCTTATGTGCACTGTCACTCAAAGAAGGCCAAAACTGGAAGTTTCACCTACTGTTTCCTCCCAGATTCAAACTTCATCTCAAGTGAGAGAAAACTCTTCCCCAAGCCCTTCAGCAGAGGTCGTGAAAGAGAGACAGTCATGACTCACATGGATGCTTGGATAAAATGAGAAAAATCAGGAGAGATTATTGCAATTTTTCTAATACAAAGTTCTATGAAACTGAGAAAAATCATCACCCATCTTCCAAGCCCTCCGCTTGTCAGAATTTGAAGGAGAGTTAGCAGCTGTGTTCATACTCCTGTTTACTGTGCACTCGCTGCATTTCTAGTGCTGGGTTTTTAATCTGTATTCATGTGACATCATTGAAAATGTATATGTATCCTCTACTTTGATGCATTATTTCCTAAGATAGCTTCACACAGATTGAAAGACTTAAACCATTCCCAATTTGTCTCTAGCCAAAGTGTAAACACCTTTGCATAAGTTAAAGACATCCCTGCCCTATCAATGCCTCCTAGCGTACACAGAGGCTACACCTCCACAGGCACATACCTCCACATGTGGTGGGAATGCCCCCAAATTCAATCCTTTTGGATATCGGTGCTGCAGGAAAAATGCAAAATAAGAAAACAAATAATGAAAGCAATTCTGGAGTCTTTCTTGTGCCTGATAAACCATCAAGTGGATCTGTGACCACTTGTCATAGATCCTTTGCTTAAACTACTTTGCAATATACTTATGATTGATTTCTGCCACCACTTCAGATTCCTTTTTGCATGGCTTTTTAATGAAAGCATACATGTCCTGTTGAGCACTGGAACCAGTAAGAGAAGAAATTAAACTGAAAATTGTGACAGTGCATCTATACACAGTAGTATGAACTGTGGCTCATCCACACTTCCATTTGTCCCACTGTTTTCCTCTGGGAAAACCTCCTGTTTACCGCTGAATCGGAAGAAACATCAGTCATTTGTTTTGGTGTGGATTCATGTTTATTCTGATTCAGTGGTAAACCGGGTTTTCCTTGGGAAAGTGGTGGGACCAAAAAAAAACCCCTCACCACTTAGACCTGTGCCTAGAAAGCATGGAACAAGTTGAAAACCTTTTGGACCTATGCTTTCTAGACACAGGACAAGCAGAAGTGTGGATAAGCCTAAAGTCTGCAAAAAACAACACACACACACAAAAAAGATCAGTGGGTTGGGAATGCAATTGTCCCCTTCTGCAAGTACAATCTGGCAATTTCAAACAGAAATCTGGGGGAAAATTTGAGTGGATCCTGGGTGAACTATTTGCTTTTGCATAACAGCAAAACCCATATTATAGCCATGCATTGTACAGAGCTGTAGCTATGGAGGAGGCTAGCCTTTTTTTTGCCTCGCCATTGAGGCTCTCAGCCTCTCTGTGTGTAGGCAAATGCACGTGGGGGGCTGCCAAACTGGGTCTTTGACCTGAGTGAAATAAAGCCCCTGCATTGTGGTCCTTGCATGTGACAAATCTTATTATAGCATGCAGACTGGAATGTTATCTGTTGTTTATTTGTGTTTTGATTAGCTATGAGCAGTGCATGGTGTCCACGATTTTCTGGTTGGAAATATTGGGGAAATGGCTGCTATTACTTCAGCAATGTCAGCATCAGCTGGGCAGATTCTCGGAAACAGTGCAGAAGATTCAGAAGTACAGACCTCGTATGGATTGGAAGCAGAAGTGAAATGGTATTTACACATCCCTATGGCAAAACACAAATAATGGAGATCTAGTGGTAGATTTTATATGGCTGTATGTATATGTATATATATATGTGTGTGTGTGTGTGTGTGTGTGTATGCACATATAATATATGTGTGTGTGTTACTACACACAGCCCCAGTCTGGCTCGAGTCCCATGGTGCTGTGAGTCTCTTTCCCTATACCACATTCACTTTAAAGTGAAGGTCTTTGCTAATTAGGTTTCCCTGACTAAATCAAATATCCCTAACTTTGTGGGCCAGGTCTGATTTACGCCAGTGTTCCTTCTGGCTCATTCTTCCAACTAGTTCTCTTTTCAGAGGTGCTGTGGCTGTCTTTGACACTATTTTTCTCCACTCTGGTCCGCATTTCTCTTTGCTTTTATAATATCAGGGGTGTCTGCTTATCAGTGCCAACAACACAGGCCAGAGAGTTCCCTACAATGTGTCTCTCTTCTCCAAGAGAGAGTAAGGCTGCAAATTTCCCTGGGAGTAAGCCCCATTCAGTTCAGTAGGACTTGCTTCTGAGTCCCACTATGTTTTTGAGTCTTAAACAGGTAGGTCTTCAAGAGGTCTCATTTTAAATCATAAGGTATTTTATTCAGAAATTTATTAAACAAATGCTTGCAATATCTGACTCTGATTGCTAGTTTATTACATGAAAGCATGTTCATACAAGAGGTGAGGTATTTATTTCACAAGTATTGTATATCTCTAGAAAGTGCTTTGTGAGTTATGAACATGACTGGGCTTAATTTTGTTTGGAATAAACTGAGCCGCTATTTGTAGCTTGGTGTGTGTGGAAACAGCTTAGTTTGCTAAACCCACTTAGTTACAAATTGAACCAGGATTGGAGTTGTCTATCAAAAACAGAAAAAACTTACGATAAAAAACTGTGTGATTTGAACTGAGCTTTCTATTTAAGAAGAACTGTATAAAGTTTAAAGTACGTTTAGTTACTGGACGGTGGGAAGAATGTGTTTGTACCCAGCATTTGACTTGTGGATGCTGCCCTCTTGTGCTAGAAATTGATAGTAATGCAAATATTAAAACTGAGAGAATTCAAAAACAAAATGTCCTAGTTTGGGAAGTTGGGAAAATGAAAATCCCATTTTTGCTATGAGCCAGAGCCAAACACAAACTCCAGGCATTGGAGCCTGTCTTGTCATTCAGTTGCTGCCAGCTTGTTAAAATTCTGCCAGCTTGGGGCTAAGGATCCTATCTGTGTTATCTCAGAAGAGGTAGGAAGCCATCTCTTCCAGCTGGAGTTTACAGGAGCCTTTGCCAAGGCCTGTACCCCAGGGCTTGGGGGCATTCCTTTTATGTGGTTTAAAGTACTGTTAGCTTTACTCTGACCTTGTAAAATTTAGCAAAAGGCTAATATAGCCATCAAATATTGTTGCATCCCAAATTGTTTTACTGTCTCTTGTATTTTGGCAGGACTGGTTGTCCTCTGTAAACCCTCGTGACATTTTGTGGACTGGGCTGAATAGCAGGAAGCAAAAATCCATATGGATTTGGTCAAATATGAAATCAGCTGCTAAAGCATTACACTGGTACATAAGTGTACACTGGTACACATAAGTGTTTCTGTCAATTTTAGTTTCATCGTTTCTAATTTGCATTTCAATATTACTATTTTCATCTTGAGTAAAACTATTTTTCTCAGTTTTGTTATATATTTATTTATAAAGGTATTTGTGTACCGCTATATCATATAAAAAAAATCAAAGTAGCTTACAACAATAGAAGTATAAAACCATAAAAATGTTAAAAACAGGCATCAATTTACCATTGTGGAAGTCTGTATTCCTAATTGTCTGCAGAGGCAAACTATAAACAACTCCAACACACTGTAACAGAACAATGAAAGCAAAAATAATAACTAAATTAATTACCTCAAAGAACAAAAGAAGCAAAGGCAGAAAGAGCACAGAAATCCAGAGCTAATAATAAATACATTAAATTCTCAAAATGAAAATGGCATATAAATTAAGCAACAACAGAATCAAAGTCTGGTTTAAAAAGAAATGTCTTGAAATGCTGGTGAAACGCAAATAGGAAGGTAATCTCTTGGAACAAGGAATTTCACATATGGAATGTGCCTGCCATAGAGAAAGCCAGGCCTAGAAGGTGTTGGCACATGTGGGAGGGCTGTGCCACACATTTTAAAGGATGGACAGCTCTACTTGGTTGGAGACAAACTGCAAGAAGCTTTGTCCCAAGCTGTTTAAGGCTTTAGAAGTAATAGCCAACACCTTAAATTTCACTTAGAAACTGAACGTCTTGTACAGTACTTGCCCCAATCAAAGTTTTAGTGGTGGTGTTTTACACTGGTAGAAGTTCTTGGATGGTTTTTAACTGCTGCCCCATAAAGAGTGTGTTACAGTAGTCCAGTCCAGATGGCATGTCGGACTGGATTTATTTTTAATGTTTCCTTCTAGGAGCAGCCAGTGAAGAGGAGTGACATCATGTACCTGGTTGTGAAGTCACTGCTGCCTACAAGGAGGGAGACGGGCAAGGTGACAAAGAAGGTTGGTGCTGTGGCTGAGGAGACAATGCGCTCTGCAGAATGCCCCTCTCCCTCCCAGTAAGCTGCAGCAACTCTGTTGTTGGAGGCCAGGAGCACGGTGCCACCCCTCCTCACTGGCTGCTCCTGGTTTATTGTTGTTGTGATCTGTAAGGTGGCTGAAAAGTTTTTTATAAGATGTAACAGAAATGTGCATATCTGTGCCTATACCAGTTAATCAGTCGTGTCTTTTTCTTACAGGTTGGAACTAAAAGGGAGCCCAGCTGGAAGATGTATGGGTCTTAATTCAGTAGACCAAACTGCTCTGAGACTAAATTGTGAGGAAAAACACAAATTTATTTGCAAGAGAATTGAAGGTAAACTGCAGAGTAGAGTTCTGAAGGTGATGAAGAAGAAAACATCTGTAATAATTAATAATAATAAATTAATAAATTTATTATTTATACCCTGCCCATCTGGCTGGGTTTCCCCAGCCAGTCTGGGCGACTCCCAACAGAATATTAAAAGCACAATAAAACATCAGACATTAAAAGCTTCCCTAAATACTTGCTTAGAATTTTGATTTTAATTATATCAAGGTGAGCTCTCTAGGTTAATCAGATTTCTTTTCTCCGTTCATGGTGAGGCACAAGGTTGCATAGGTATCCTTTATCATGCAGGATGAAGCAAGCTGTGAATCATGTGATACACAAATGAATATCACGTGTGATAGGGGTCTACAAGCCAACTGCACAGGCCATCTAGATGGTCCTTTTCTCCGTTCATGGTGAGGCACAAGGTTGCATAGGTATCCTTTATCATGCAGGATGAAGCAAGCTGTGAATCATGTGATACACAAATGAATATCAGGTGTGATAGGGGTCTATAAGCCAACTGCACAGGCCATCTAGATGGTCCTAAGGAGCTTCCCTTATCATTTGCCCCAGATAGCTTCCATGCCTGAGATGCCAAAAGGCCTCCCAAGGGAATTCAGAATGCCAGAGTAGTGCTGGACAACTCTCAGCCAGAGTGTGTACTGTTTTAAAAGATCTAATCTTCAATGAGTGAAGAGTGAGGTGTAGTCGAACTTGTACACGACCATCTGGGGCAGGCCTGGGGAACCTTTGGCTCTCCAGATGTTGCTGAACCATAGCTGCCATTATCTCTGGCCATTAGCCATGCTTGCTAGGACTGATGAGAGCTGTAGTTCAGCAACATTTGGAGGGCCAAAGGCTCCCCACACCTCATCTGGGAGACGGAAGATTGTGAAGATAGATGGGTGCATCTGCAACCTTGGCTGACCTTGGTAGTCCTAGCTCAGGCTACATAGTTTTGAGACAGGCAGAAGCAATGTCCACAGTTTTGAGGAAGGATGGAGCAGTCCTGCCTTTCCAGTTTGAAGTGCATATTAAGGGGAGACTCACTTCTCTAATATCAAGTGCACAGATTTCTGGTGTGGCACCTTCACAAGATTTGCAAGCGCTGATCAGCTTTGAGGCTCCATATATATGATACACTTTAAAATGCCATTCTGGAAGGTGCTGTTCTTGGAGTTCAGCAAGAAGGGTCTCAGAACTCTGGTTCTCTTGGTTCTTAAACATGAAAGTTCTGCAAACGTTTATTCCTAAGGTCAACTGTGCCTTCCGCCAGGCACAAAATCTGATGTTTTCCTTCCTTCCTTTCCTTGCCGTATGTCCCACAAAGAAAAGGAGTGGCACACATTAGACATTTGGAGGACTTCCAAAAAGTATTTTGGAAAGACTTATACAGCTCTGACACTTGTATCACCGAGGAAACATCCTTTGGAAGGCATATGCTCCAACAGATGATCTACACTTGCCAGAGGGCACTGAGGTGGCCCATCCTGGGATGAACATTGCTGCTGGACATTCTGCTCAATGATACCCTCCTCTTTCAAATACATTGTTATGGAATGTTTAGGAGAATTACCAGTGTCTCACTCTTTACACATTCCACATATTGCAATTTGGAAACACATGAGTTAATGGAGAACTCAAGTTAGTGAAAAAATGTATTTCTACAATTTCTAACAGAAACATTACTGGACAAGATCTGCTGTATTTGCAGAATTAGTATAGATGAGATTGATGAGCCATACAGTATTGGGTACACATGCTGGCCCTAGGAAGTACACTCCTTTGCCAAAACTTGTACAGGACTATAGTACAGAATAAAAAGGAAGGAAACAGGCTGTTCTTTTTCAGAGTGATTTTGAATGGACTATGCTTTCTACAAAGTCATCTTTGACAAATCACTGCAGTGTTTGGATCCTTGACCATGGGCAGTATGCCCTCTTTTGCAAAACCTCAAATTTTGGCACACAGTATTGATACAGGGAAATCAAAAAGGCTCTTCCAGTAGGTCTAGCTTTGAATTGTGGTTGCAGGAGGGGATGCTGTCTTGGATATTTGCCTGGGCGGGGGTAATTAAACTTGCAAACAGTCTCTGGTTGGAAGTTGCAGCTGGGACTTAATCCAATTCCATGAAGATCACCCTTCTATGGCAATTAGACTTGAAAAAAGATTGAATTTTCCCATCCTCGGCTGCTGGGGTTTGGGGTAAAAGTGTATTGGAGAGGGTAAATGAATGAATGAATCAGTTGGGTGATTTTGTATATCAAAGAGATTTGTGAAGTGGCACTGCTCGCTTCTTGCACATGACCTGTGGAAGGTTAACCACCAAATAATGTGACTCTTGAGACGAACAAGTTCTCACCCCAATGTAGTGGATTGTTGACTAAATAATTAGTGGCAGTGCCACTTGATCAAAGGACTTGCCTGTTCTCATTTAAAGTACTCTGTATTAGTCAAGCCTATGGGATCAGTTCCATTAGTTGAGGCCAGAGGATGTGGACAGTGTGCTTTTAGCTGTCTGTCCCAGTATTTGCCCATCATGGCTTGCTTGTTCAGGTCGGGGATGGGGGGTGCTGACCATGTGAAATCACTGACTTGAAAGGGGTGGTGGTATTAATACTCAGAAGGGGTCATATTTCAATATACATAGTCTCTGATCTATGTGTATGCATTGATAAATAATCAAATTTCTTTAAATCCGTAAACAACTTAATGAAAAACCATGCAGAAAGGGGAATGACTGATGGCAGAGACTATAATGGAGCTGTATGATCTGTAATTGGCAGGTGCTAAGTAATATCGGGAGAGTATTACAATTTTTTTTTTTAAATGATGGAGGAAAATCACTTAATAGATGTGGAGCTTTTAAGGTAAAGGTAAAGGTACCCCTGCCCGTACGGGCCAGTCTTGCCAGACTCTGGGGTTGTGCGCCCATCTCACTCAAGAGGCTGGGGGCCAGCGCTGTCCGGAGACACTTCCGGGTCACGTGGCCAGCGTGACATTGCTGCTCTGGCGAGCCAGAGCCGCACACGGAAACGCCGTTTACCTTCCTGCTAGGTGGAGCTTTTACCACCCTGCTAATAAACACTTTTTAATCTCAGCCCCATAACTCAAATTATTGAATAGATTATTTCTAATTACCCTACAGCTGACATCAAAGACAAAAGAAATTAAAAAATGGATTATTACCAACAAATATTATCTGCAACATTATCTCTGTTGCGTTTATAATTAAAAAAACCCCAAAATATTATTAGGTGTGAATATGAAAGAAAACAATTTCAAACTACTATTCCAGAGTATCTAACTACATAACACTGGCAAAATTTATAGCCAAAATAAGCAGTGCTGGAGGTGCAAAAGAATTAAAGTGGGTTTAATATATAGTATGACTCAAAAATGGAAGACTAAGGATCCCCCTACTATAGAGGAACGGTTGAGGAAAATTTGACAAATTAGTCTAATTATAAGGTTAATGTATAAGAGGAACACAATATAGAATAATCAGGAAAATAAATGTATTGAGAAATTGCTTATATTTATATAATTGTGAAATGACAATGTAAATGATGATTTTTCACCTTATAATCAATTCACAATAATTTAGATTTTTATGTACGGTATATTGATCTGTTTCTCTCCACTTTTCTTTCCCCTCTTTATGATTGCACTATTATCTTATTGCATAAGAAATGTAATATTGAATTGTCAAAGGTTCAAAATTCTACAGTGAAAATATTTTAAAAGAAAGAGGCAGTGGCACATCCACTCATGGAAAAAGACCTTTCTGGACCCTGATGTACTTGGCAATTAATCTGTTAACCAAGAACATACTCTCTCACCAGACTACCCTGAAAGAATGGTTCATTCAGTGAAAGAAAATATACATTAACTAAAGGAGTAACTAATGTGAAGTAATATCTGTCTATCAATCTTTATGTCGTGTAGGTACAGCAATTATATCTAGCACATTCACACTCTTAAGCTAAATGAGTAAGAAGTCTTAATCTATATTGTGGAACAGTGGGTGAGTCCAACATATTGCTATGAAAACACCTAAGCTAGAGATTTACATTTTACCCTTGCCCCTTCTGCTAGGACATGGAGTTCTGTTTAGAGTATCTCTGGCGTGTATATGTTCTGAATGCCGGGGGGGGGGCGCTGAGGGTGTTGCACTGCCAAACATTTGACTATCAAGGTCTGTAAAAGAAAAGTAACCCACAGAAGAACTCTGAGGTGAAACAACATAACTGGATAAAAAGAATGTCTTGTAAACTTTATTTGATAATTATTCTAAGCATATTTCTATTAGAATGGATAGTAAAAACAATTCCTGCTCCCTCCCTCTTTTTTCTTTTTACCTCAGTGGAAAATCTTTTTGATGTCTATACTGATCACTTTCTGTCAGGACCATTAGAACCTCACTTTTATACCTCCTTTTCCACCGCTGCATTAGACTGCTTAAATGATGCCAGCTGCACAGGAATAGTGAAAGATTACCGATACTACAGAAGAACAAGAGGTGTTGATATAATTGTTACTTATGATGAAACTGCAACTGCATACATAAGACGTGGTATGTTTGTGCGCCTGAAATAAAAACTAGTAAACAGCTTTTAAAATGCACTAGTACTCTAAAAATATTTGCAAAGTATTGTGGGTCTTATAGGGATCTTTCATTTTTCTTCACTATGCAAGTTTTGATTTAGTTTGAAAAGCTTGTGTATTTGTTCTTACTGTAATCTAAATAGCTCCCATTTTAAATCTGAGCTGTAAAATGTAATTCTATTTCATTCCCCAGATTTAGATTTCATTTCTTAGCCAAAGCCATATCTTGCTTACATTCAAAACTCATAGGTCAGGATCTAGAAAACCCCATGCAGAAAGTGCTTTCATGCACATATATGGAAGCCCGGGAAAAGTTCTCAGGTTCTCCTTTCTTGCTGCATCTCTCTACGATATTAACTACCCATTTTAGGGGTTTTCTGACTAAAATGGATAGTGGTGATGTAGAAAAAGTCTCCAGTTCACATGTGGACTGTCATACATGGACTTTTTAAGCCTGACCATAAGTGTGTCTTCCTTGACATAAGACCAGAAAACACATTTCTTAAATAAAATCAAGAAATACACACATTTGAGAGAGCTTAGAAATTTAAAACTTTTGGAACCCAGTTCATCACAGTTGCAGTGACCTTATGCAGAGATTTCTCCAAAAGACATGACATGAAAATTCAAAGAACTGTATTATGTGGGGTACAGTATCATTACCTGCAACAGGGATTGCCCCCCTTTTAAAAAAAATACTCCCCCCTCCCCAAGCTTCAAGCAAGAGATTTTAAGTCCTGCAATCTAAACGGAGGAGACTTACAGAAGCAATAATTTTCCCATATATGATTATCCTGTTTTTCTTTGTTTTAGGGACTGGTCCTCTAGACTCTGCTCACTTAGTCTTTACTTCCTTTCACTCATGTACTGTATTTCTTGGTCTTAGCTGGGAGTTTTTACTTACTCATTTACATTATTTTAGGTACCGAAAAAGGAATTTTGAATGCTCATAACTTGTTCCTACCTTCTGTTTCTCTCTTCCACCCTCCCCCCTAGTTTAGCTTCACAGCAGTCTGAGATCCTGTCTGCATGATGCATTTAAAGTGGTATCATATGACTTAAAACAGCCATATCTTCCCCAATGGCATCCTGAGAACCGTAATTTGTTAAGGGTGCTGAGAGCTGTTAGGAGACCCCTAGTTCCCTCACAGAGCTACAATTCTCCAGAGTTCCTGGAAAGAGGGGTTGATTTTTAAACAACTCTGAGAATTAAGTATATGGTGCAGGCAGGCAAATCATAGTAACTTTAGGCACAGCCTTTAGGTTAAGATCTATGTGTCTGTGTTATGAGTCAACCAGGATTATCTGCTTTCTCCATACTCCCCCTTCCCTCTCTACAATGGTTTGATATGCTTTTCTCACTGGGAATGGTGGAATTCAACTTAAGTGATCTTTGGGTTTTTAAAAAATGAAATAAGCAGTTAAATCAGCCTTCATCTTTATTAATGTCAGATGCCTCAAGGTCCTCAACTCCCCTATTTCCCACGACCCCTTCTGCATATTAACATTTAGATCAGCTGGTTCTGTGCAGAAGCTGGCTAGATGGTGATGTCATTTGGTTGCTTCTGAGGTTTTGTATGATTTTGTTTTAAGTGTGTAATAATGTTTATCTGATTCTCTACACAGAATGTAACTTTCGTTTCTATGGTTATAACTGTGCATCCGATTGTAAAAAATGCTATGGAGGATTCAGGTGTAATTCAGTAAATGGCAAGTGCCCAGAAAGGATGCAGTGTATTGGCCAGTTCAAAGGTGAACTGTGTGAATTAGGTACAGTATTACTTTGAACAGATTTGTGTGGGGTTTTTTGTCTATATACAGTCATACCTTGGGTTGAATGTGCTTCAGGATGAGTGCGTTCGAGTTGCGCTCCGCGGCAACCCGGAAGTAACAGAGCACATTACTTCCGGGTTTCGCCGCTTGTGCATGCGCAGACGCTGAAAATACGTCACGCACATGCACAGAAGCTGCGAAAAGCGACCCGCGCGTGCGCAGATGTGCCGTCGCTAGTTACGTTTGCTTCTAGATGCGAACGGGGCTCTGGAACGGATCCTGTTCGCATCTAGACGTACCACTGTATAAGCACAAATGAAAATCTAGAATGTTTATTTTGCAAGGGTGGAGCTGTCTTGCTATGGAAAATTTTGGTTGCTTTGGTAGAACCCTTGCAAATAACAGATTAATTTACAGGGGAGGTTAAGGGTATTTCCACTGAATTCAACCAAGTGTGAAACCACAGCAGGATGAAATGCATATGAGACTACTTGCTCAAATAACTAAGTAGTTGGGTTTTTTTTTAAATTCCATCCTTAGATTTTTCCTTGTAACATGATGTTTTGAATATGTTCGCCAGCATGTGCAATCTGCATGAACTTTTTTTACCCACAACACCCTCTACCCTTCTTATTTCCAAAATAGAAGTTTTCTTGTTTGTGCCATTTCTCAAAACTAAAAACAAGCAATCTGTATACAGTATTTGCTAGATGCGCTCATTAGTCTCCATGACAGAAAACAATGGAAAATACAAAAAGATACTTATTTAAAAGCAGATACAATGTGGCGATGTTGCTACAAAATGCTTATGAGATTTGTTGGTGCTGTTTTTAAGGAAACGTTTTAGAGACAAGGCATGATGACTAAAACTACATATCTCTGGAGGCAGCTCATTTGGCCCTATAAAACAAAAGGCTAGACACAGTATGAACTTCAGTAGAAAAGCATTAGAAAGTAAATGCAAACAGATGCAAATACAGTTGGTAATGTGAAGCAAAAAACATGTTAAAATAGCATGATTCCGTTCAGTGCAAATTTGATATGTGTAACTGGTAGTGCTTTTGAATGAAGAAAAGGGTGTACAGTTGTGAAACCTCAGAAAATAGTATAATGGCAAACATTGCAACCAACTTTTGCTTCAGAATATCTGCATTATACATGAGCTTTTGCTTCATGATGAAAATATTAATGAAAATAAAATGAATGGTTTGGCACACCTCTAGTTTCTGCAAGATTGTGACCTGTCCTAGTAAACTATTCATGTTTAATAAAAATTTAGGCATACTGAGTTGAGTGAGGTTTACTTTCAGGTAAATACAAAAAGGACTGTAGTATAACAGTGACTGAATATCTGTCAGAATGTGTTCCTGTCACTTGGAGTACTAAAAGCTGCTGCACTGCTGGGTTGGCCGTAATGCTTTAGTTTAGCATGTGATATAGCTAAGGCTGTATGGAAAAGAATAAATAATCTTACTGGAGGGCAGTTGAGTCAGCCTGTCTTCTTTCTCTGATGATATTAGAAATAGCTAAAATAGCCGCTAGTGAAACCAAATCTGAAGACCAACGTTTAGACATTTGCAGAACTTGGGTAGTGGTTGTGTTCTAAGAAGAAAACAAACAGAACCATTGTCACAAGGAAGGGGTGCATTTATATCTACAAGTAAGAGGACAAGCAAACAATGGAAAAATCCTGGGAAGATGGAACATAACCAAAAATCTCCCCTCACTGGAAGATGGAGTAATTGCACCAGTTATGTGTGAAATACCATGCACTTCCAGCCAATCAAATGCTCCCGTGGAAAGATCACACACTCCCCACTTAAGAATAAGAATAAGAATAATAACGGAGAGAAGCAGAGCTGTGCCTGAAGCTGCTTTTTTGGAGCAGGCAAGATGCCAGGCTGCCCACTACAGATGACATACCTGTCTTTTGGAGCAAGTTGGAGGAGAAATCCAATCATGGATATTATCCTCAACTATAGAGAAAGGTTCAGTTCTCACTTGACATAGGAGATCAGCATTAGTTTCCTTATAATTTTCTTCATTTCAGGCATCAGGAATCCAAAATGTCCACAGAATGCCCCATGGTGGTTTTATGACGGACACTGCTATTATTTTGAAAAGAAAAGGAAACAGCAGTACGCACAGGCAAGCGTGCAGTGTTCATACTACAAGGATGTCAACCTTGTCAAAATTGACAATGAAAAGGAAAAGGTATTGTACTTTAGTGCAAGGATAAATTTGAGACAACAAAAAGACATATAATGGTACCTCGGTTAAGTACTTAATTCGTTCCGGAGGTCCGTTCTTAACCTGAAACTGTTCTTAACCTGAAGTACCACTTTAGCTAATGGGGCCTCCCGCTGCTGCCGTGCCGCCGGAGCACGATTTCTATTCTCATCCTGAAGCAAAGTTCTTAAACTGAGGTAATATTTCTGGGTTAGCGGAGTCTGTAACCTGAAGCGTGTGTAACCTGAAGCGTACCACTGTACTGTAAAAGGTTTAAACATTGCTAGTTTCAGTTTAGGCTACCTTTCTTCCTGTTTTCAGGAAAAGCAGCTGGAAATATTTCAAAAAGGCAAAAACCGAATCATACACATCAGATCATTGAAAAGAACAGGCATAAGTACATTTAAAACTGACTAGTAAAGGTAAAGGTACCCCTGCCCGTACGGGCCAGTCAGTGGCGTAGGGTGGGTTGTCAGCACCCGGGGCAAGGCAAGTAATTTGCGCCCCCTAACCCGTGGATTTGCGCCCCCTAACCCTAACCCCCAGATGTTGCGCCCGGTGCGGCCAGCCCCCCCTGCACCCCCCACGCTACGCCACTGGGGCCAGTCTTGACAGACTCTAGGGTTGTGCGCCCATCTCACTCAAGAGGCCGGGGGCCAGCGCTGTCCGGAGACACTTCCGGGTCACGTGGCCAGCGTGACATCGCTGCTCTGGCGAGCCAGAGCTGCACACGGAAACACCGTTTACCTTCCCGCTAGTAAGCGGTCCCTATTTATCTACTTGCACCCGGGGGTGCTTTCGAACTGCTAGGTTGGCAGGCGCTGGGACCGAGCAACGGGAGCGCACCCCGCCGCGGGGATTCGAACCGCCAACCTTTTGATCGGCAAGCCCTAGGCGCTGAGGCTTTTACCCACAGCGCCACCCGCGTCCCTTAAAACTGACTAATTTAGGTTTAATGCACTGCAACTTTTTACATTTGATCAGATATGTAATCATTTAGACTGAAGAGGTAATAGGCTGCTGGAGATTCATAAGCCAAATCTGACCCATTGAAGATGGTTTTCTCTCCCTATTGCTCAAGCCAAAAAGGCAGAAGGGTGTGGAAGGCATGTAAGCCTCAGAAATGTGACTGGCTGGCAGGTCGTTTGGGAGACTGGCGAGCAGAGCCTAGACCGTTCTCTAGCCAAGCTAGGTACATGCACTAAGGTACAACAGAGGGAGGGAAAAGGCTAGCTGGATGGCTAAGAACTAAAGAAAACTAATAGTACTCCCTCTCAAGAAAAAAACAAAGTAGATTTGTACCTTGAAAGTCCTGCTATATCTAGCCCAGTTTATAGGTGCTGTGATGATAAGAAGGTGATGATCTGTGCCACAGGCAGCTCCAGGTCTTGTTTTTGCTGACTGTATAGAGCTTCTCCATCTTTGGCTGCAGAGAATGTAATCAATCTGATTTCGATGCTGCCCATCTGGTGATGTCCATGTGTAGAGTCGTCTCTTGTGTTATTGGAAAAGAGTGTTTGTGATGACCAGCTTGAGTAAACTAGCTGGTGCTAAAAAGCAATCTAGGGAATAGTGGGAGGAAAATTGCTTGTATCAATCTATTTACCATCAAGGCCTGAAGTACATGGCTGAAGAGCTGTAACGCCTGTGCCAGTGTTTTAAGTATTGTTACAAAGGCTGAGCACTACTTGAGCAGTAGCAAGATTCCAGGACAGTTCTAGGTGCCCAACCAGAATCTGTGCTCCTTTAAGAATCAAGACGCAGTGGAACCTGTTGTAGCTTTAAGAAATATGTCTTATTCACATAAAAGGTAAAGGGACCTCTGACCATTAGGTCCAGTCATGACCGACTCTGGGGTTGCGGTGCTCATCTCGCTTTATTGGCCGAGGGAGCCGGCATACAGCTTCCGGGTCATGTGGCCGGCATGACTAAGCCGCTTCTGGCAAACCAGAGCAGCGCATGGAAACGCCATTTACCTTCCCGCCGGAGCGGTACCTATTTATTTGCACTTTGACGTGCTTTTGAACTGCTAGGTGGGCAGGAGCAGGGACCGAGCAATGGGAGCTCACCCCGTCGTGGGGATTCGAACCACCGACCTTCTGATGGGCAAGTCCTAGGCTCTGTGATTTAACCCACAGCACCACCCGCGTCCTTCTTATTCACATACTTACACCTGAATTTAGATGGAAGGAGTCATTGCAAGAGGGGCGTGTTCCCCATAGCAGTGCAGCACTGGAGCCCACCCTTACTTCAGTCACCCTGCCAAGATTATTTCTGGCTTTTGTTCCCCTTCTTCTTCCCAGCACATCCCTACTCCAAGCAACTCCTCCCTATCCCAAGAACATTTTCAGAGGCATATTTTTTTCATGTGAGCACCACCTGCTCCCTCCCTATCACCTTGACTACCCTGTCTTTCACACTCCTGAGACCCTTCCTTTGATGTGCTAATAGTGGCAATCAACATCTTTGTCTTTTAATGACTTTGCATAAGCCATCCCAAGGATCCTTTGTCTAGCAGGGTTCTGTAGCTTGCATCTGTCATCAACCAACAGTACCTGTTGAATTCCATCCATCCCAATACAGATTCCAGATATTTGTTCAGGTCTTAAATTTGATAAGCTGTTTTTAAAAGAGATTTCTTTTTCTAGAAGTGGCTTAATACTATGATGGAAAGTCAGAGTTGGATTGGTTTGCTACAGGAAGGAAGTGTGTGGAAATGGAGTGACGGCCGAGAAGCTGTTGATCCATTACACTACTCCTGGTAAGCATTCAATTTCAGCAGTTGCAGGAAAAGAGCATAGTTCCATAGTTACTTCCATAGGACCTATTGAGCATTGTTTTTTAATAACACTCTTGCTCAGTTATAACTCTCAAATTGTCATCAGAAGAGGATGCTAAAGAAGGCTTTGGTGATGAGAAGCATTTTGGAAGGTAAGGCCTACAGACTGACGGAGAGAGTTATTCTCAGGAAGATATACATTTCCCCCCCCATTCTTTTGTGACTGCCTTCCTTCAGTTTTGTTTGAATGGAATAATATTGTTACATGTCACCATAATCTCCATGTGCAGTGTGAGATTCCAGGAGCTTACCCAGGCAGCAGCCAAGTTGGTTCTGCCTGCCCAGCAGTTCTTGGGGTCTGACCTTTGTTCTCTTTCCCAGCACACCTCTCACCCAAACCCAAGCCTCCTATGAAATTACTCTTTTTCTAGTCACCCCTCCCCATCTCCTGTTACTTGTCCTGCCTCTGTCCACTCCTCAGAACCAGGATGGGTGGTGGAGAGGACAGTTCATTTGTATTGCCAAAATCCTTAATGGCCCTTGTATTGGTTTTTAATGGCTCTGCACCTAGTTACCAGGCACCAACCCAGGGATTCCACATCTGGCACAGTTCAGCAGGTTGCATTTTCCAGTCCTTATCCAAATATTAGCTAGATTCTGACATTTATTAATTTCTTAGGTTTAGGGAAATCTCCCCTCCCAATTTACAGGTCGCCTCCCGTTAACATTTTGCATACCAAAGAAAACCATTGAAAAAGCCTGCAAACACCTCGTTCTGCCCTTGCTTCCATTCCACCCTTTCAGTGACGTCTTTATGGCATTTCCAGGTCACTTCCACGTTTGGCATGATTTGTATAGACTTGGTCGTGCACATATTGAACATGTGTAAACTGGGGGCTGCCTGTTTATCAATATAACTGGATTTTTGTTCTGTTCAGTAATATAAAGGCAGTTGGTCCCAATTTCCTGTGACACCACACTACTATGTTTAGTGTTGAGCTATTGTTCCATCCATTCTGTTTTAATTTGGGAACTGAGATGTCCCTAATTTCTATGCCATCTGCTTTTTGTTTGCATTCTGCTTTTAGATTTCAGTTTTTTCTACATATTCTAGAAAAGTTTCCGGTTTGCTTTTAATTAGACAACATACAACATTATAAAGGTGCCCTCTGAAGTAAACAAATTGGTTCTGCATTCTCAGGAATACTGCTGTAAAGAGTACAGAAATGTATGGGATATTCAGTTGTTGGGTTTTTTTAAATTTTGTAAGGCAGAGAGTATAAATAAACTGCATTGTTAATTCTACCAGCTTATTTTTTATATTTTTAATCAGGTTATGGGACTTTCCTGCCACAGGAAATGGATGTGTTATGATGGTTAGAGGAGGCAGACTTATGGCATTACCATGCACTGAGCAACATTTCTATGTTTGTGAAAAAGAAATAGGTACTGATTGGAATATTTGATTGTTATACAATATAAATGCTCATCATAGGATCAAGTAACCTTTTGCTCTGTTTTATGATTATGAATCTGAATTTGCCCAGAGTAAGTATGATTAATTGTAGTGACTAAGATTCCTAAATTTGCTTTCTTTCATATAGCAATTCATGCTGTATTTGCTGTCAGTAATCTTGTTACTAAATTATAATCATGCTACTAAATTGTCTCTTCTTTTTTTAAAAAGTTGGTCCTGACATTTTCATTGATTACCCTGGGAAAATAATGCTGGCTGTTCACCCCCTGGCTGTGTACAAAAACTTTGAGGAAGCAAGATTCTATTGTATATTAAGAGAGAACTGTACTGGAATAAGTAGCTGGCCAGACAAACATTTTCTTGTCACAGGAATGGAAATGGTATCAGGTGTGAGGCATCATGTATTTCACTTGAAGACCGGTAAGGATCAGTTCTGTTTTTATAGTTGTTTGGTGCACTGGAATGCTGAGTAAAGATTCAAAATTCTGAGCTATAATAGCTCCAAATAGGAGTTTGAAATGTCCTGGAAATATTGTGAAGGATCAGAACCAGTAGAACTTAAAAATTGACCAAATTTAGGGATTTTTTCCTATAAAGTGATTCCTTGTGGGGGTGGGAGCCAACAAAATTTGTGGATGGGGTTGCACTCCTAAAGGAGCAGGTCTGTAACTTGGTAGTACTCCTAGATACACCTAGATACAAGAGGCCCAAATATCTCTAGCAGTTTCACCTAGTATACCAGCCTCGCCCGTATTTGGATTGGGATAACTTGACCACTGTAGTCCATGAATTGGTAACTTCAAGTCTGGATTACTGTAATGCACGGTATGTAGTACTGCCCTACTTTGGAACCTCCAGCAGGTGAAGAAAGCGTCAGTTTGACTGCAGATGGGGTCAGAAAGCCAACAGCATGTGGCACCTCTGCTAAAACATCTGAACTGGCTGCCTATATGCTACTGGGCCAGGTTCATATATTATGTCAATAGCCAAAGCCCTGAATAGGTTGAGTCCAGGTTACCATAAGGAGTGTCTGAACCCTAATATCCCAGCCCAAACACTGAGATCATCTGGAGGAGCCATGCTAGTTGTACCCTATGTTACATTGAGATGGCTCAGTATCCTGCTAAATAATAAACTTGAGAGTATGTTTTTTATCTTGAAACTTGCAGGTTCCAACCCATCCCAATGCATTCCAGGAGCCATTCAAAAAGTGCTAACATGCTTTTGAGGGGTACCCTCATATTATACCATGGGACTTGGCACACAGTTTGAGAACTACTGGTCTAAGAGATATTGAGCTAGGAAGCATAGGAAGCAAACCAAATTGGGGGAGGGGGAAATATGATAACTTGGTGATACAATACTGACATACATTGTGTGTGTGTGTGTGTGTGTGAGAGAGAGAGAGAGAGAGAGAGAGAGAGAGAGAGAGAGTGCACTAGTGAGAGAGCACGCACAGCATAGGAGACAAAGAGAGAAATGGAGAAAAGTGAATTGACCAGGATAGACAAACTGAAGAAGAGGGAGCATAGTAGAAAATAAAAGACAAATGTAGTAGAATGTAATTGGAAAGGGAGGTTAAATAAAGGCCCAAGAGATATAGTAAGCTGTGGAAACTGGAGCTGGCAGACGTAGCATAGCCTTGCCAACATCTTGATATTTGACAGCATTAACTGTTACGTTGCCTAACATGTTTAATTCTGTATTTTTCCTTCTTGTAAATTTCTATTTATCATGTTGCTTAGCACTTGGATGATAAAGTAAGTTATTGCACTTTGTATTTCTTCTGTATCAAAGGTGCTAAATATCCATATGCTTATATTACTCTTTTAGGGTTGTGTTGCCCACAGTGTTTCCATGTTGTTGCGGGGGACTACAGTACTTTCCTCACAAATGACCCATATATTTTGTTGCTATTCTGTGGCTTTCTCAGGGCAGTCATACATCCTATTGTATTCTAGGGGTTTATTGGAACTTTTATACAATTTACCTGCTTTGCAACTGTCACAGTAATACTCAGGGTTTTTTATGTTTTCTATTTGATTGCTGCTTTAAAACAATGCTGAGCCATCTTCAGTTGCTCTCACTGTAGTGATATGATTTTCTGCTTACTGTTCTATGTTCAGCTGAGAATGAGAAAATGCTGCTTAGCTTTTGAGTTTGAGGCACCTGTTGGGAACACATCCAGGTTTTAATAATCAGCACAGATAAGAAAGGAGGAGATCCCATGATGTTTTAGAATAGTCCAACTCATACATTCTCTGCTCAACCCTGTTAGTACATCACTCTGTTATTTATTTCACACAGGCTGAGACAAAGCATCCAGAATGGGTATAATTCCATAAGATGAAGTGATGATTCAGAATTTAACACTGCTGTAATTATTTACAGTTTTAGTAGTGCTTATTTACTTCTTCCTGAGACAGAATTTTTCATCTTGAGGGCTGCAGTATCTTCTGAACAGCCTTCTATAGGTCATGGTCTCTTTACAGGTCTCAGTTGGGCTGCTTGGTGTGATGCCCACTCACTGGTTATTGACTCCCTTTACTGTTGACAAGAGGATTGTGCAGTACAGTTGTATCTTGGTTCTTGAACAGAACTCCCAGAACCATTCAAAAACCGTTTTGACTCCTGGAACCACTCAAAAACCAAGGCACAGCTTCTGATTGGCTGCAGGAGCATCCTGCATCCAATCGGAAGCAGCACTGGACATTTGGCTTCCAAAAATTGTTCGACAACCAGAACACTTCTGGGTTTCAATCGTTCAGGAGCCAATTTGTTCAGGAGCCAAGGTGTTTGAGATCCAAGATATGATGGTAACCAGTAGTTTGTCCATGGTAAAGCATGTTGCTGTGGTAAAACACTGAATCTTACTGTAAAAAAGTATTAGGGCTGGATTCAGCTGACCAGTCCACTTAGTGAAAGCCCATGCAGCGACTTCCGATAGCATGCTGTGGCTTCTCCATCCTCCCCACCATGGCCCCAAAATTTGCTCATGGGGAGGTCAGGATAATCCCTAGAACAGTACATGGGAGGAGGAGAGGAGAACTCATTCCATCAGGCAAGCAGAAATTCTTGTGCTGACAAAATGATCTCCTTAATACTATGTTGAATTCCTCCCTATATGTTTGCCTGTGTATTTGTAGCTTGGAATATTTTTCTCATACATAGATGTCCAAGCCTGCTTTGTTACTTTAAAAATATTGAAATTCTCTGCACTCTAGCTTGTTCACCAGGACGTTACGGGTATGGATGTGGGGAAGAATGTCCACCATGCAGAGAGAATGCCCTTTGTAACATGTTGACTGGTTTCTGTGATGAGAAAGCCTTCTGCAGAGACACATCCTCTATAGAGAGGTGTTCAGAAAGTAAGCTTAAAAAACAAACAAAAATAAAGAAATAAATTTAGTTTATATGAAATATTGCTGTCTTTGTTTTGTGGCTGAAGTGGGTCTTCAAAATATCCTTAAATGCTTCTCTGTTTTCAGGATCATTTTAATGGAAATGAAACAGAACACTGCTGTTTCCCCATGTGCCCTGGGGCATATTTTGTCATGTAGTTGCTTAGCTCAGTTCAGAGCAGATGTTCATGCTGTTAGTAAAATCCTTTGAATGATGGAGACTAGGACCATGCCTTAAGAGTGGCTGCACTAGCATTGTTTGAGCGCTTGCTCATCCTTTCAGAGGTGATTACACACAAATGTAATGCCTAGTTTAGCCAGTTCTGTAACAAGAACCATTCTCTGAATATGACTTCTACATTGCAATGAATTGGGAAAAGCCTCCAAGCAGAATAAATATTATGCAGTGTGTTGTTCACAGATCAGATACACATTTCTGCCCCAGTGAATCATGATGGTTGTGGAAACTAGTGATTGGCACCCCGTGGATTCTCTTTGGATTGGAATAAGGGGAGCTATTCCCCCCACCCCAATCTGAATTTGAGCTAATCTTTACCAAATCCACAGTACTCTGGAAAATGTAGTTTTTCTGTCTTTTTCTACAGGCCATCCCTATATTTTTGTTGATATCATGAGAGTGAATTTCTTGAGACTGGAAAGTTTCTGTTTGCACAGGGTAAATGTTTTGCATATTTGTTTTGGCATGAGTATGAAGTGGCTTTTTGTGCATTTGTTTTTAAAGGCACAGTCAGCCAGAGATGTCCAGATATGGGTAAATGGCGCTACTGGAACAGATACTGTTACTATTTCTCTGTCCATATTGATGCTGAAAAACGCTGGGAAGAAGCCAATTCTTCGTGCAGTCGTTTTAGGGCTGCTGAACTTCTATGGATTGAAGACCAAGATGATCTGGTATGGCTATTGTACCATTAGTGACTCTTGTCTTAATTGGCCTGTACTTCCAGAACTTTAGCACCTATGTAGAAGTATGACAATTCAGAAGAATGCTGTACTTTTTTATTAAGTGACTGCAATATTATTATAATATTGCAGTCACTGTACAGTAAAAAAATGTTTCTACACGTTTATGTTATTCTTTCCAAGCTGATGCAAGTTCCTTTAGTGATGCTGTTGCAAAGAATTGCTGTAAGAATCCCCAGAATCTCAATTATCATTTTTTAAATGGTAAGACCTGAGAAGGCTGGTTCATACCTGTCCACATGGTGAATTAGTACATGCTCCTCTACGTGTCACACATAGAAGGCAAGATTCATCTGGATTCTCTGCCTGAAAGCTTGTTGCGCGCATTCACTTCTGCCCTCACCCCCCACCTTTTTAGAGGGAAACATTTCATGTGTGGACATAGATGCAGAATGCCCAGATCACATGTTACCTCAGCCTGATGAACAAACCTACAAGTTACTGGCCTGCAAAACGTCATACTAGCTTACTTCTGCAAGCTGTTTTACTGGCCCTTGCTATTGCCAGTACATACCATAGCAAGGTACACACACTCTGTCATGTAACTTCTTCTTCTGCTCTGCAACACATTGTTTAGCTTTGCTTGCTCCTTCCCAGCCATTCATGGTGCTTTGCTGGTCCAAAGAATTTTGTTCCCACTGTTGAATTGCTAGCAGAGGGTTTTAATCCATAGCACTATTGCTCAGGACCTGCACAGCTGAAGGGCAGCACATTCTGGTTTCTGCTGTTGGCCAGGGGACCAAAGGCCACTAGGAGGCTGCTCCCCCTGCCTCTCAGAAAGATAATTGGGACAAGGGTGAGACCAATCAACCCCATCCATTGGCCAGAGAAGGAGCAGCTGAAGGGAGCTTATTTCCTCCCATCCTTTCTGGAAAGAACAGTGCTCCAGTTGCTAGTTTCCCTGGGATTGTAGGAGCAAGGAGATAGGCTACGCCCATCAGACAAAGGAACAGGGGCTACCACATGCATTTCAAACAATAACACCAGCAAGAATAGATCAACTTGGCCCTACTGGATACAAGTGCCCACTTCTATATTACTATTTTATTCATGCCTTAAAGTACCTTTCCATTCCACTGTGTGTCTTTGTAAGCCTAATATGGCTGGGGATGAGCAGTGGCATGCAGAACACCAAGGTATACATATCTGAATGATTAGTTGAATGAGCATCTGATTTATGTTTGTCCTTCCTGGCTCAGTAAGTGATACATATGTTAATATCTAATTTTGCACAAAGATCCTCCTTATGTCTTAACCCTGCTGTTCAACCAAAAAGGCTTCCAAGGTGGCTTAGATAAGTTCAACAATAGACAGCACAGTCCCTCCCTGCAGGCTTCCTGCCTCAAAGACGCAGCATGAGATGATGGACTAGGAAAAGCAAAATCTGTCACTGAGTCTTAAACTTACAAAGTTATTTTTTTTTTAATGACCTGTTTGAGGGTGAGGAGGAGCCAACTGAAGCTGGTCCCTCTGCACAATCCACAGAGGGTGTTGTTCTTCCCATCTCTCCCTCTATCCCAGCCAGATGAAATGGCTGCCCATCAATGACAACTGAGAGAGCTGGAACTACTCTTCCATCAGTTGTCCTCTTTTAGGTGCTGGTAGGACACAAGGGACAGCCTCTGTAAAAAATCTTAACATTTGGGGAGATTCAGGTGGGGAAAAGTGGTCCTTGAGATATCTTTGACCCAAGCTATGAAGAGGTTTTAAAGAGCTTGTATATCACAGTTGAATAGGTAGTCCTCATAATAAATACAATATGTACTGGAGATCCAGATCTCAACTCTGCTCATTGTTTATCCTAGTACTAAAATCATATAATTTCTAACTGCTTTAATGATACCTGCGCAAGATAACCCAACACCAGTTTAATATCAGAAGCAACATTTGCAGCTGGAATGGGAACAAAGTGATCATCTTTTCATTAATTGTGAAAACACTTGCACTGCTTTTAAAAATCAGTACTGCCTAGCTATTTCTGTTTTTATTCCTCATCCTGATTTCAATTGTAGGAGTGGATACAAAAGTTTGTTAGAGAAAAAATATGGCTAGGACTGCAAGATATAAACTCTGATGAAGTCTGGGCTTGGTCACATGAGGACAATGCAGAAAGTACATTGCAATGGTATGTATAATGAGCGGGCCCAATCCATAACTGTTGGCAGTTTAAGCAGATCTCAGCTGTGTATTGCATGTTTGCAAACAGCTATGAAAAGACTCATCAAGGATAATAAACACAGTATCTGGAACTTCTGTATGCAGGTCTTATTTGGTATCAAGTAGTGGTCGTTATTATTACAAAATACTGAGAACAGGTCAGGGAAAGACTGAGAGAGCGTAGAGGTAGAGTCTGGAGAAAGTTATGGAAGTATGAGTAAGTAACACATGACAAAATTACTTTTTCTAAGCACAGGGTAGTGAATAAATATTTAGGGTTAAGCTGTATTCTACAGCTGGCCAACCCTTATCCCTTTTCCACTCAAATTTAAATTGTTGCTTTGCTATTGGCTCAAACCTAAAGGCTGGGTCAGACATGTTGCTTTCCTACTATATCACAATATGTTGCACTTAGTAGGAAAGTTGAGGCATGGCTGCTTGATTTTCTCACCTATCGTATAATGTCACTGGCTTTGGTGGTGTTAATGCACTTGTATGATCTGAGTATTAGAAAATATCAGGACTTTGAGAACCGTTAGTCAGCTCTTCTTATTTCTTTGTATGGTACCCAAAAACATAGGCATTAGTGGCCTTGCTTAAATGCTTGCCTGGCTGGAATCATAGGAATATAGACGACTGCCTTATACCAGTCAGACCACTGGTACTAAAATATCTGAAAAGGCCATCTGTGCAAGTGTTCATTTCTTACTAGAAGGTAAAGGTAAAGGTACCCCTGCCCGTACGGCCAGTCTTGCCAGACTCTAGGGTTGTGCGCTCATCTCACTCTATAGGCCGGGAGCCAGCGCTGTCCGCAGACACTTCCGGGTCACGTGGCCAGCGTGACAAGCTGCATCTGGCGAGCCAGCGCAGCACACGGAACGCCGTTTACCTTCCCGCTAGAAGGTACTGCCAATCAATTCCTTAAGTTACTCGTCCTCTAAAAAGTTATATCAGATACAAAGATCTTATAACAAGTATGCTTGGAATGGAAAAAAGCTAGTGATGGGCTGAAGGGCCATTGAGAGTTTGAGTGCTTTCAGGAGTAGGAATTTCACTAAAATGTCTAAGCTGCTTAACTTTACCCTCCCTTGCTTCTTTAACAACAACAAAAGCCCTTTGTTCTTTCATAGCAAGATCATATTTCCTGGCAGTTGGGCCAGAATGCACCATGTGATGATGTAGTGTAACTGCCAGGAGCATTCTTAAAACAGAAGTAATAGTGTTTTGTAAGTGTGCATCCCACCTGCTGTTGTCAGCCAGCACAATCTGCACTTTTAAAGCACCCTGCTTACCCAATTTCAGCGAGGAGTAGGCAATTCCCTCCCCAGACAGGTTAAGAAAGTGCACTGAATGATCCATCAGCCTGCACTATCTTCTCAGTGCACATTCCCAGCTTGGCTCAGAAGGGGTATCTGCTCTCCATTCGAGTTGGGAGAAAGAATAGTTGGTGGTCACCAGTGATCAGCAATGATCATGTAGAAATTACATGGGCATGTACAGATGAAGTTACTTAATTAATTCTTTTATTATATTTTGACAGGCTGGATTTCCCAAAGGGGTACAAATGGCACAGATGTGCTGATATGTCAAACAAAGGTGTTATCAGTAAAGTTTACTGTACTGAAAAGAGAGAATGGGTGTGCAAGAGACCAGCTGGACGAGGTTCGGAGTCTGCTGATCTTTATTGTTACGTAGAAGCTGCTCATGTATAATTTGGGGAAGAAGACAACTGAATGAGAGTTAGCATTGTTGACTTTTTGAAGATCAGCTGTCCCAACAGAGGGATTAAATGCTACTTGTTTGGAACAGAAAGAAGCTCTGAATTACAATACAGTATACCAGTTGCAACACAGTACAGTGGTACCTCGGTTTAAGAACAGTCCGGTTTAAGAATGATTTGGTTTACAAACTCCGCAAAACCGGAAATAGTGTCTTGGTCTAAAACGGAATCCGAACGGTGGAAGGGCACTGGTGGCGGGAGGCCTCATTAGGGAAAACGCACCTCAGTTTAAGAACTGTTTTGGTTTAAGAACGGACTTCTGGAACGGATTAAATTTCATAAACTGAAGTACCACTGTAGTTTGTAGTACTCTGTTTTGGGACACTAAATAATCTTTAGGTACACTTTGCTGTGTATCCATGATCAACAGACCATAAGGTTTTATTTTATTTTTTTAAAATATTTTATTGCAATTTTTTAAGAAGAGAAATTCACCAAATATATAACAAACACAGATATTATATATATAAAAAAGGAAATAACAAATCACAACCTTTCATACATTTTTTCAAAATCTTCTGGACTTCCTCATGTCTCCCTTTCCTGCGTTCTCCGAACAAAAATTATGTTCCGCAATTTATTGCCTTATTTCAGATCTTATGTTCTAAATCTAATGTGTTATACCTCTAGCTTTAAATATTTCCATCAAATACTTAACTACTTAGTTTAGGTATAACCTTAGTTCAAATCTCATCTTTATGGTTCAACTTATTCTCATACATTTCTCATCTAGACTACTGATGCCAAGTTCCTTCCCTTCATGCACTTTCTTAACATTCAAACAATTTATAAAGTCTTTGTAGGTAATCTTTAAACTTCTTCCAGTCCTCTTCCACCTCCTCCTTTCCCAGGTCTCGAATTCTGCCAGTCATCTCAGCCAACTCCATATAATCTATCAGTTGCGTTTGCCATTCTTCCAGTGTGGGCAAATCTTGTGTCTTCCAGTGCTTTGCGATGAGTATTCTTGCTGCTGTTGTTGCATACATAAAAAAGGTTCTATCCTTCTTTAACACCTTCTGGTCGACAATGCCCAGAAGGAAGGCCTCTGGTTTCTTAGGGAAGGTATACTTAAATACCTTTTTTAGTTCATTGTAGATCATTTCCCAGAAGGCCTTAACAGACCATAAGGTTTTAGATCATATGTTTCAATCTGTAGGCTTTTAATGCAAACTTTCTGTATTTATTTGGGAAGTTTTAGGCCATTGGCCTTTCAATTTACTTGTGATCTGCTGTGGTGAATATTTGCATTTTGACAAAATTCTGATAGCTTCAGCATCTAAACGAGGTAGCAACCTAGATGAACTCTGAGAATTGCATAGAGTTTGCAGAAGGAATTAGAAGACTCAGCAGCAGCTTTCAAAACTCACCAGCTGTTATAATGAAGATCCTCTGTAGTTTTATAAAAATGTACACTTCTTACCCCCTCAAGCATAACTCAGTTAAATGAATGATTTGCAGAAGTGCTAAAAAAAAGCTTTAAAAAAAAGTCCTGCTTGTAGATGGCCACTGTGAGAATAGGATGCTGAACTAGATGGTGCTTTAGTTTGATCCTTCAGGAATCAGTCACATACTAAGCAATATTTCAGAGAAGAAAGAATCACATCACCAGGGAACCCTAAGATATGCAGAAGGTCAAAAAACAAACAAATCCTCTTTAACCCTCCTCATGAGGCAAGTTCCCAAAAACATCGCAATGAGCATGCCCAGTTGTCACAGAGAGGAATGTAATGGAGCTGTTGGAAATCTGAACAGAATTATTTTGTTAAGAGACCCATGTGTTTTTTCTGTTATTTTTTTATATCTTACATTGGCATTAAAGAAATCCCCAGGAAGTTCTAGATCTCTTGCTACCTTTGTCAGCACTGAATGACTGATTGCCTTGAAGAATTGCTTTGCATTATTTCTGTGGGATTTACTGTCTTGATTTAAAGGATGCTAGTAGCAATTGCTTAATAGTAGTTGATCTTATGGCAACAAAGCCATAACTTGTCAAATGCTGTTATGGGTCTAATGGTGGTACCCGATGTTCAGTATCTTCATTTTTCTGTTGAATTTATACATGCATTGTGGCTCATGTATTGTGAGTTGGTGGGCAAAGGTTTAGAATTAAAAAAAATCATGGGGGTTTTGCTTTTTACAATCTGTGAGCAGTGCAGCTGAATTCCCTCATATGTTCAAGAAGAAGAAGAAGAAGAAGAGTTTGGATTTGATATCCCGCCTTTCACTCCCCTTCAGGAGTCTCAAAGCGGCTAACATTCTCCTTTCCCTTCCTCCCCCACAACAAACACTCTGTGAGGTGAGTGGGGCTGAGAGACTTCAGAGAAGTGTGACTGGCCCAAGGTCACCCAGCAGCTGCAGGTGGAGGAGCGGAGACGCGAACCCGGTTCCCCAGATTACGAGACTACCGCTCTTAACCACTACACCACACTGGCTCTTCAAGCATATTGATTGCAGACAAGTGAGCAATAATAGGGATGATTAAAATATCAGAGTTATGACATTGTTTATTTTGTCTACAAATTTTAACATTTTAAAGAAATATACAGTACTCAGTATAGATTTTTCAAAGTGCTAACTGACCTTGCCTGGCTTTTTTGCGAGTCATCCGTATCATAAACTAGCTTTATACGTCTACATCACTGTTAATTAAGCTGTAGAACTTGCTTATAGAGGTCAATCTTCTTAAAGAGGCCTCTTGTGTAAGCATCACGTAAATGATATTAATATTTGGTTGTTCATATATATTTAACAGATGGACCTCAGTATAACCTTTTTCTCTCTTCCCTACAGACCTTGATGTATACACAGGCTTTTGGGATTCACTAGTGATCTCAGAGAAACCAGCTTTGTCAACCAATTATACTTACAATTATTCAAGGGATGAATGTATTAGATTGAAGTCAAGATGTCTTGGCTATGGATTGTGGAAAAATGGATATTTCTTGTTCAATGGTTTAAGATTAGTTGGTGGCGGATTTGGTCCAAGTGTAACATTTTTAAAAACAGGTAGTCGTAATTGTCTTGAGTACCTTCTTAAATGTTTAGAATTATTGAATACTGAATCGTATCAAGATTCCCTCTCACGAAAATACAAAATTCTGTGATATTTTTGTATTCTAAATACAGTGGTACCTCGGTTTATGAACTTAATCAATTCCTGAAGTCTGTTCTTAAACCAAATCTATTCTTAAACCAAGGTGTGCTTTCCCTAATGAGGTCTCCTGCCACCGATGCCCTTCCACCGTTCAGCTTCCATTCACAAACCGGAACACTACTTCCAGTTTTGTGGAGTTCGTAAACTGAATAGTTCATAAACAGGACTGTTTGTAAACCGAGGTACCACTGTAGATCCTTTGAAATCTCATTCATGCTTTTCCTTGCTGAAGAGTCTGGCACCTTGGAATAGCCAGTTTCTTTCACCTACAAATGTAGAAGTACAACAAAGAATACGGTTTTGTTTTGGTTTTTCCTTCAGGTGTGATATTTGCTTGTTCCTGCTTTTACTCGTCCAGTATACCCCCACAACTGAACACTGATTTCTTCTTTCTTTTTGCCTCTTCCAAACACTTTAAAGCATATCACAAACAGTGCTTTTTTCTGGGGGGACACATACCCCTAAACATTTTGTGAATCTAAGTTTGGCCTCATTGAGGGGCAGTATTTTAATATAATGTCAGAGATTTGCAGGGTAGCTTCATGGTCCTTGCATAGCACATTTGCCAGACATTATAAAATGGACTTATTTGCCTCAATGGATATCACCTTTGGCCTCAAGGTCCTTCAACAGGTTTTAAAGCTTTAATCCAGGCATAGGCAAACTCCGGCCCTCCAGATGTTTGGGACTACAATTCCCATCATCTCTAGCTAACAGGACCAGTGGTCAGGGATGATGGGAATTGTAGTCCCAAACATCTGGAGGGCTGGAGTTTGCCTATGCCTGCTCTAATCTGTTGCTGTTGAGACCTACCCTAATGGGGAAAGCTGTGATATGTCCCAACCCAGTGACCGCTTGATGCCCACTATAAATAGTACAATTGGTACTTACCCAAAGAGAGTTTTGTCCCTGTGGCCTCTTCCTAATAGGGACTGGAACTGATTCTTTTCTCTATGCTTTTTCTTTTCTGTTATGGTTGTAGCTTCGTCGTTCCTTCACTATATAGGTTAGCAGTAGTTAAGCAGTACTACTTATGGTTATGTTGGAAATGGGCTCTTTAGTTCTTGTTGTTTCTTATCCTTGGTGATACTCCAATGACTTTTCAAATTTAGTGGCTCTGCAAAACTAAATGGGAGCCACTCACTTCCCAAAGAGCGTTTTGCTCTTGCCTTCATCAACAAAAATGGAGCTGTAACCCAACCCTGTGACTACATGATGCCCTAACAAATCTACCTATTGTACCTTCTCCCTCACTCTGCATATATGTGTTAAAGTTTGTAAAAAATATTTTTAAGTTGATTTGCAGAGAATGTAGAAATGGGAGTATATTAGCATAAGCCACTAGCCAATCAGTGGTATGCACAGCTGCTTCTGCTTGAAATTAACAGAACTGGCTTTTTGGCAGTATCAAGCTAGGAAAAACACTGACAAAAACTGGGTGAGTGTGGTTATAGTAGCTTAACCAGTTTTTGCCTACCCGTATCCCACCTGCTGCATGTCTTTCGGCATGAGTGTTTAATTGTTGGGGATAGCTAAGCTTATGACTCAGGAATTCCCAACTGAGGTGGAATCTACACACATATAAAAAACATTCTGAAAATGCTTTTTTTAAAAAGTTTTTAAAAATACAATGAATTTTCCATAAGGCTCACCATTGCCATCTAGTGTCATATTGTATATTGCATATAAAAGGTAAAGGTACCCCTGCCCGTACGGGCCAGTCTTGACAGACTCTAGGGTTGTGCGCCCATCTCACTCAAGAGGCCGGGGGCCAGCGCTGTCCGGAGACACTTCCGGGTCACGTGGCCAGCGTGACAAGCTGCATCTGGCGAGCCAGAGCCGCACACGGAAACGCCGTTTACCTTCCCGCTAGTAAGCGGTCCCTATTTATCTACTTGCACCCGGGGGTGCTTTTGAACTGCTAGGTTGGCAGGCGCTGGGACCGAGCAACGGGAGCGCACCCCGCCGTGGGGATTCGAACTGCCGACCTTTCGATCGGCAAGCCCTAGGCGCTGAGGCTTTTACCCACAGCGCCACCCGCGTCCCTCGTATATTGCATATAAAACACACTTAAAACATTTTATTTTCAGCTGTATAGCTGAGTCCCAACTAGGCTCTAACCTTAGCCAATCTTTTCTTTCAACTTCAGGTATGGAAATAATAACACTGACCTACCTAGCAGGGCTGTTGTAAAGGTTGCAACAAGATAATGTATGTGAAAAACTTTGAACATTCTATACTGCTATATTACTTTTATTTTATTTTATTTTATTTTAAGCATGTGACTATGGATACTATGGGCCAGAGTGTGAATCTGAATGCCGGCCCTGTCATTGGGACAAACCATGCCACCCTGTTACGGGAACATGTGAAGGTCCCATTGTTTGTGTTGCACCTCAGCGTGTAGGTACATGCCCTTTTGGTAAGTGAGCTTTCTTTCTTTCTTCTTTCTTTCTTTCTTTCTTTCTTTCTTTCTTTCTTTCAAAAAACCCTATTTATTCATTTAAGAGTTTTGAAAACAAAGCTTTGCCAAATGTAGTTTATAATTGAAGACATAAAAGCATACAAAAGCAGCATCTGAAAAATAATGTAATTAAAACAACAGGATAAAACAATAGATCCTGATGGATGGATGGATGGAGGGAGGGAAAGGGAGAATGTGCCCCTGAGGATGGATCCTAATTTGCAAACCATCACTTGTACAGAGTAAGCTTATCACTGACAGTTATTGGAAGTTAATGGGATGATTCTGCCTTATATAATGAACAACTCTCTACCCACTCTGAAAATACTCACTTGGCAAAAGATACAAAGGAATGTTAGACTATGTTGTTGTTTAGTTGTTTAGTCGTGTCCGACTCTTCGTGACCAGAGCACGCCAAGCACTTCTGTCTTCCACTGCCTCCCGCAGTTTGGTCAGACTCATGCTGGTAGCTTCGAGAACACTGTCCAACCATCTCGTCCTCTGTCGTCCCCTTCTCCTTGCGCTCTCCATCTTTCCCAACATCAGGATCTTTTCCAGGGAGTCTTCTCTTCTCATGAGGTGGCCAAAGTACTGGAGCCTCAGCTTCACGATCTGTCCTTCCAGTGAGAACTCAGGGCTGATTTCCTTAAGAATGGATAGGTTTGTTCTTGCAGTCCATGGGACTCTCAAGAGTCTCCTTCAGCACCATAATTCAAAAGCATCAATTCTTCGGCGATCGGCCTTCTTTATGGTCCAGCTCTCACTTCCATACATCACTACTGGGAAAACCATAGCTTTTAGACGATGGTTAGACTATGAAAAGCAACAAAACATGGGAAATCATAATAGTTTTTGCATTTGTTTTCTTTTTTGATGGTGTGTCAGGCTTGTACAGTTTAAGATGCCCCCTTGGTGATGGCTGGTGGTACTGGGGAGGAAAATGCTACTTGATAGATGAAAAAAGAAAAGTGGCATGGAGTGAAGCACAGGAGCTATGCAGACGTTTTAAAGACACAAATCTACTTGAGATACAAAGCCTTGAGGAAAAGGTTAGAATCTTAAAAAGAAAAGAAAAACCCTATAAAATGTTGGTCACCTTTCTATTCAAGAGTGCTGAAGGTGGTAAATAACATTTACCAGTACTTGCTTAAAGAAAATTCAGTGGGCACTTTTAAAATCTACCTTTTTGCAAATGGCACTCCAATATTTATTTCAAGGGAGAGTTTTTGTTTGTACTGTGAGGGAGGAGTGTTAACAAAAATATAAAGCCCTCTTCCCTCCCTCCCATACTCTTGCTGTAGTCAGAAGTCACTTGTTGGGTGAAATACTGGGGAGGAAGAGAACAGGCAAATGGCTTCATGTGAGATGTGTCTCAGTCCTCTTATTTCAAGTATTGTGCCTGATACCTAGGTGGAGAGATAGAGAAGAGGTGCTATCAACCCTTTTGTTTTTGTTCAAAGGGAGAATTGAGCTATACTTATCCCCTGATGTGTATGCAGTTTCACCTATGGAGTATATTGAGATCACACCACCAGATCTTAACAATGCTAATTATGTCTATGTTGTGTTCTGCTCCAGACATGGGTGAAAGCAATGATAAATCAACAAATGTGGGTAGGAATGAAATGGCATTCAGAGACGTCTCGTTGGCAATGGGGAGATGGAACAAATGTGAACACTAATATAGATTGGTAAGATGTTTACATTTTTCTGCCTTTTATGAATGGGACTGGAGGTACCTTTTACTTATGCCCCTGAAATACCTACTGAACAGTTTTCAGTGTATGGATAATGTCAGGGAACTGCCATCAGCTCAGAGGTGAGTGATAGAGGGGGAGTTGTGTTACAGGGAGCCTCCGAAAATCTTGCGAAGCAGTTCCTCTTCCGGCGAGGAGGAAAGCCCAACCTCCAGTGGAGAAGAGGTGCAAGGGCCAGAGGATGCTACAGAGAGGGAAGCACACCCCTGCCATCCCCAATCATGCACAGTAGTTTGAGACGCGGGGGGGGGGGGGGCGGAAAAGGCTTGGGGTGACGAAACTTTTATGTTGGGGGAGGTACAAAAACAGACCACTCCCAGATTCTGCTAGCGATTGAGCCAGACATGAACTTATGACACTCTTCACTGTAAATAGTTTGCACCAAAACAAAGCCTTTAAAAGACAGGTCGGAGTCCTGCCTGGTTACTCTCGAGCAACCGCAACAGCATCTGACAGATATGTACCTATTGAAGCTAAATGTTAATAATTTAAGAATGTAAGAAAAGCCTGCTGGATCAGGAATGGAGCATAATGAACATGGCTAACTTGGTAGAACCCTGAACAGGCATATTCTATACTGCAACATTCTTTTTTCGGAGGCCACCTGCCTTATTTATTATTATTTCTAATGCAGCAGTGCTCTCAAAGTGACCCTCCAAAATTCTGCACACTGATGTGTGATATCACAGATTACGTTCTAAAAATTAGTATGAATATTTTTCTCTTCCTAGCTGTAGTTCAAAATGTTGCCTCTTCCTTTAGGTTAAATATAGAAGGGAACAAGCTTGATGGCTGCGGTACTATTCTCAAAAATAAGCGACTATTGCAATCAGCAAAGTGCTCTGAGAAGTTTTATTTTATATGTGAAAGAGAAGAATGTAAGTATTAGCTTTTTCTTTTCTTGCTTCCTTTTCTTCTTTTATATTCTTCCTATTCAGTACTGTCTCTCGCCCAGGGAAAGCAAGGAATATTCTAAAGATTCATCCCACTGCTTAATGTTGTCCTCTCTGCAATGTGTTATGTGGAATTATTGTTTGGGAGTTAAAGGGTTTTTTATTGTTTCAGTTGCATTGTGTTTTTATATGATGTAGCCTGTCCTGGGACATTGCAGAGAAGGGTGGTAAGGAATACAATAAGATGTTGATGGTTCTGTGGCTCCTGGGTGCAATAATCTTATTTGGATATTACTAGAAGATGAATAATAATAGCTAGGCTATTACATACAGTACACACTGCCTTTTCCTGTATAGTCTGAAAACTTGAAAGAAAACCCACCTTAAACATCAGTACAGTGGGTTACAGACTCCCCAGGTTACAGATACCCCAGGTTACAGACGCTTCAGGATACAGACTCTGCTAACCCAGAAATAGTAACTTGGGTTAAGAACTTTGCTTCAGGATGAGAACAGAAATCACGCGGCACCGGGAGGCCCCATTAGCTAAAGTGGTACCTCAGGTTAAGAACAGTTTCAGGTTAAGAACGGACCTCCAGAATGAATTAAGTTCTTAACCCGAGGTACCACTGTATTGGATTTCCAACACTGAGCAATCAACAACAAAATTACTTGATGTTGCCATAACAACAGCTGAACATCTTTGGAAAAACGTGCTGGTAAAACAAAGCCGGGGGAAATTACTTTTCTCAGAAGAGTGTTCCACAGTGTAAGGGCCGCCAATGAATAAGCCTTTTCCCTTCACCTTCCTCATCTCATTTCTATGGCTGAGGGAATGCAAAGCATGACTTCAACTTAGAATCTTAATTCCAGGAGAGGGTGGTACAGTGAAATAACGTGCTTTGCAGGAATTCAGGAAATAATGACCAGCCGTTTGAATTCACAAGTGAATTGGAATTCAGGACAGGTTAGAGAGCCAGTGTGGTGTAGTGGTTAAGAGCGGTAGTCTCGTAATCTGGGGAACCGGGTTTGCGTCTCCGCTCCTCCACATGCAGCTGCTGGGTGACCTTGGGCCAGTCACACTTCTTTGAAGTCTCTCAGCCCCACTCACCTCACAGAGTGTTTGTTGTGGGGGAGGAAGGGAAAGGAGAATGTTAGCCGCTTTGAGACTCCTGAAGGGGAGTGAAAGGTGGGATATCAAATCCAAACTCTTCTTCTTCTTCTTTGTGAAGATCATAGTAAATGATCTGTAAGCAGATTAGTCAAGAACATAGTAAAATGTTTTGCATGTTCACTCTCATCAACATTTGGACCACTGAGGTCTGTACCATCTGAAGCTTCCAAACTGTTTTCAAGAACAAACCCTTTTGTGGTATATGTGTGATACTTGCTGGATATCTTGGTGTCCTTGAGAAAGCTTGATCTTCCATAATACACATAGTGTACTTGGACTTTCAAGAAGCTTTCAACAAGGTACAGTCATACCTCGAGTTACAGATGCTTCAGGTTGCGCATTTTTGGGTTGCGCAACGCACTGAACCCGGAAGTACTGGAACGGGTTACTTCTGTGTTTCAGTGCTCACGCATGCGCAGAAGCACTAAATCACTCTTTGTACGTGCGCAGGCGTGGCACTGTGGGTTGCGAACGTGCCTCCCGTACAGATCATGTTCGCAACCCGAGCGTCCACTGTACCTCCCAAGGACACCTGAGTAAGCTCAGCAGTCACAGAGTAAGAGGCAATATCCTCTTGTGGATCAGAAATTTGTTAAGTAGGAGGAAGCAGAAAATGGGAAATGCAGTTCAATGTAAACAAGAGGAAAGTGGTACATGTTGGACAAATAAAATCTTAATTTCACATATACGCTCATGGAGTCTGATCTGGCAGTGACTAATCAGGAGCAAGACTTTGGGGTTGTGGTAGATAGCAAGACTTTGGGGTTGTGGTTAGAGAAAAAAGATGAGTAAGAGGTGGCAATGCATGATGGAAGTTTATAAAATTATGCACTAGAACTAGGCAGAGCATAGTTAAACTGTGATCACAGTTTGGATGGCTTTAAAAAGTACCGTATTTTTCGCCCTATAGGACGCACTTTCCCCCCTCCAAAAATGAAGGGGAAATGTGTGTGTGTCCTATGGAGCCTGGAGCTCACCGACTGGTGCGCACTGACCCCTCTCGCTCTCCAGGCTTCAGGCAGCTATCCGCAAGCCTGCGGAGCACGGCGGGAGTTCCCGCCGGGCTCCGAAGGCTTGCGGATAGCAGCCTGAAGCCCGGGGAGCGCAGCACCAACTCCCGCTGCACAAGCCTACGGAGCCAGCAAGCTCTGGGAGCGAAGGGAAGGTTGCGCGCAACCTCGCCGCGGCTCCCGGACCCGTTCTGGGGGCTGGGGTCATGGGAAGCTCGGGCTTCCCCAGCCCCAGCCCTGCGGCTTCTGCCAAAGCCGTGCGCAGCCTTTCCCGGCTGGAGAAGTTACACACGGCTAACAGAGGAAGCCAAGACAGCCAGCGGGATGGATCTTGCTCGCTGTCTTGGCTTCTTTGCTCTTTGGGGCTTGGGGGGGGGGAGAATTCCCCCCCTTTATCCCCCCCCCTAAAAATTAGGTGCGCCCTATGGTCCGGTGCGCCCTATGGAGCGAAAAATACGGTATTAGACTAATCCATGGAGGAAAAGTCTTATCAATGACTCTTAGCTGTGATGGAGGCTATATTGGTTGGAAGCAGTATACTTCTGAATACCAATTTCTGGAAACCACACAAGGGGAGAGTTCTGTTGCTCTCAAGTCCTGCTTACAAGTTTCCCACAGGTATTTGGTTGGCCATTGTAAGAATCGGATGCTGGACCAGATTGGCCATTGGCTTGATCCAATAGGCTCTTCTTATATCATCTTAGTCTTTGAACTGATGGTAATAATCACGGTCTATGATTGTTTTCTTTGGACAGCAATGAATATATTCCAGGAATACAAAGGTCACATTATACCACAACGACAAAACGCATTGCCAAAAATGTTCTATACTTTGAGTGATGCTGAAGAGGATTGCATTTTTGAGAAAACTACTTGTACTGGTATAGTTTTATCACAAGGCCAGTATTATATGGTTAGTGGAACAAATATATTCAAAAGCATTGATGCACATGACACCTTATATGTGAAGTCTGGTGAGTCACTTAAAGGAACTTATCTATACACTTATCTATAACAATGTGGCTGTGGCTACCAAACTATCTTTTTCCTGATCTTATGAAATGCCTCTTAAGTTGTTAACTGGCAGATGCATGCTGTTGGCTCCTACGTACGTCTCTTTCTTGTTACGGCATTGTCATTGTTGCCAACTTATCCAAAGTACTCTGATCCTAAAAATAGTAGAACTTATTAAATTTTATGTAATGTTTTAGTTTCTTAAATCTAGATGACTCTGGAACTGTTTGGTTCCAAAAGTAAATATGTCCAGCTGGGTCAAGAGTTTACAGCTTTGGTGATGTCAACATCAAAGCATTAATTACTATTTTGCTCTTATGGGACAAAAGATGGGGTAGAAATACTTTAAATACATAAATTAATCATAGCCTCTTTCAGATAAAACTGAACTTCTCTATCAAATAAGCTATTTTTCATTCAATCCGCAATTAATGAACTCTAGTGTAGCACAGTGGCTAGAAGACTGACTTGTGAGCCCCCAAGTCCCACATTTATTGCTCACTAGATGGCAAGTCATTCTCTGCTCTCTTCATGTTTCTTCCCAAATCTAATATGGGATAACAACCACCTATCTTCAGTTTGTGAATCACTTTATTTAGGAAAAGAACTAAATATACACTAAGGTGACTATCCTATGCACACTTGGAAGTGAGTATGCCCCAGTGAATACAGAGGGACTTAGCTTCTGCATATGCATGTACATATTAGTAATATTAAACTGGAGCCAACCAATGGTAATATACTTTGGAAGTGCAGAGCAAGTTGGGCTCTATTTGCATACCTGAAACAGCTCATAGTAAAAGTCAAATGTTGAAATGTTCTTGTTAATCTGGTTTTTAGTTTATTCTTTTGCTGTTTTAATCCTCAAATTTTATTCTAGTTTGCAATCCTGGATTTTTTGGTACAAATTGTCAATTCACTTGCAAAAAGTGTGCCAATAACTTACCTTGCCATCCGATTACTGGAGAATGTGTAGCCATTGGCCCTACCAAGTGTACCTTGGATTCCCCAGATCCAGAGTGTAATGCAAAAGGTACAGTTTCTAGACATAGGTTTTCTTTTTTTATTCTCTCATTTTATGTGGCTTTCTCTATCTTTCTTTTAGTACCTCCTTTAATTTATGTCAGCCACTCTGTAGAAGTCACTCTAACTCTACTAACCATTGAAATTTTGGTTTTCATTTACTAATATCTTTCCTATAAATTTTACCATTTACCTCAACATTAGTTTTCTGTGTAAGTACGGTAAAATTAAATGATACAGGAAACTGGTGCATGTAATAGTAACTTAAGCGACTGAGCCACAAACTCACTAGGTAGTGCTCTCTGAAGTGCTACAAAGGTACTACAATTACTATGTGCTCTGGTTTCTGTCACGGTGTTCTGTTGCTCCAGAAGCGATTTAGTCATGCTGTCCACATGACCCGGAAAGCTGTCTGTGGACAAACATTGGCTCCCTTGGCCTGAAGCGAGATGAGTGCCACAACCCCATAGTTGCCTTGACTGGACTTAACTCTTTTTTATTTTTTAATTCAGTATGGTTTGCTCACAGCTAGAAATGCATTTAATTACATAGATATGCAGGTGTATCTTGTGGTTTCAAAGTTATATTACAACTTACTGTATTGGTTTTTAAGCTTTCACAAATCCGTGCCCAAAGAAGCCCCAGTGGTACCATTATTCCAAGTCATGTTACTATGTGGAACACACAAAAACAGCCACATGGACCGATGCCAGGATTGCATGCCAAGGATTTAAGGGAACAGACCTAGTTAAAATTACAAACAGTCATGAAAAGGTACTATTTGTGAGCTGGGGGTGTGTGTAATTGCTTTATATCCTTCTCACACTGGATAGGGGCTGGTTTGTGAATTAGACTTAATTAGGTTAATTCTGTGACTGTTTTCTTTTGTTCATTTTAGAAGCCATACAAATTGCAGGTGCTTCTCCATTCAGATTTAAGCAATTCAGATACCTACCCAACAAGGGAGGTACTTCCCCAGTTTACTATATCACGTAACTATGATTTGTGTGTGTAGCTTCTTCAATCATGAGTGAGGCCAGTTGTGTCGGTCTTTCTTTTTCCAGCACAAAAGGACTCTGTTGCAGTAGTGTCTCCAGCCAGCCACTGTTATTTCTTGTTACAACTGCAGCATTAGTTACCTACCGTATTTTTCATCCCATAGGACGCTCCGTCCCGTAGGGCGCACCTAGTTTTTTGGGGGGGAAATAAAGGGGGGGAAATTCCTTTATTTCCCCCCCCAAAAGCAGGTCGGGGAAACCGAACCAGGTTGGGGAACAGCGGGATGGCGGTGCTGCACCTCCCTGCTGTCCCCCGAGCTTGTGGGGCTGGCCGATGTCTGCCCGGTGCGAGGGGCGCCCTGCTTCAGGGCGCCCTGCCCGCCGGGCGGCAGGCTGCTATTCGCAGCGTGGGGAGCCCTGCGGGGAACTCCTGCAGGGCTCCCCACGCTGCGGATGTATGCCCGGCGTGAGGGGCGCTCTGCTTCAGGGTGCCCTGCGCGCCGGGCGGCAGGCTGCTATTCGCAGCGTGGGGAGCCCTGCGGGGAACTCTCTGCTTTCAGGGCGCCCGAAGCTCCGGGAAGCAGGCTGCTATCCGCAGCCTAGACATCCCTGCGGGACCTCCCGCAGGGCTGCCTAGGCTGCGGATGTGTTCCCGAAGTGCCGGGCGCTCTGCTTTCAGGGCGCCCGACGCTCCGGGAACTCCCGCAGGGCTGCCTAGGCTGCGGGTGTCTTCCTGAAGCCTGGAGAGCGAGAGGGGTCGGTGCGCACCGACCCCTCTCGCTCTCCAAGCTTCAGCGAAAGCCTGCATTCGCCCCATAGGACGCACCCAGATTTCCCCTTCATTTTTGGAGGGGGAAAATTGCGTCCTATAGGGCGAAAAATACAGTAACAATAATAGAAGTATTTTAGACATATTATAGAAAGTGGTGGTGAGAAACCTTATACAGTGCTCTTACAGTGACTATGAATGCTTTAGAAAGCTTCCTTGCAGCTGAGAGAAACTGAATCTATGTTAGCAGTGCTATCTGAAGACATTTGGAGCTTTGTAATCCATGTGCTTACTTCAGTTTTCTCTCTTAAATTATTATTTAAAAGCATATACCACCGTTATCTAAACTAGACCTATTAAAGGAGGTTTTTATGTGTTAGAAAGTTGATTCAAAGGATGATTAAATGTTGTTTGGATATAAGGCTTTAGGATTCTTGCTATAAAATAGGTTTTAGGACTTTTCCCTTTTCTGAATGTTGGTTTATATTAAATGTATTCTGCTCCTACACCATAAAGAACAGTTCAGATTTGTTTATTCTTACAGATGTGGGTACAGTATACAGGAGATGACAGCTGGATTGGTTTGATCTTCAGCAAGAGGTCATATCAATATATTTGGGTAGATAACACAACTTCAATCTTTCAAAATGCATGGTGAGATGTTTTCTAATATAGTCTGGTATTAGCAGAAAATACTTTCAGAGCCTTAGTAAAGTCCAGTTTCTCAACAGAAAAAATGATCACGTGATATATTCAGATTCTAGTACATGCTCTTTATTTTAAGAAAGTATTCAGAGGTTCTTTCTGTTTCAGTAAGGATCTCGCTGATTTTCAAGTCTCTAAAACCACAATGACTGTCAATTCAGCTTCTTCATTCTTCTCTTCAAACTAAAAAATCTCAAATTAACCATGGTTTCCTATTTCATCTGACCCTATAAACTATGGTTTTCACCTTTAGCACAAGATAGTATATTAAACCAAATTCAAACTATGGTTTAGTAGCTTGGTTTGGTTCAAAACCAGTTATTGCAGTTTCATGTTTTGACTTACAGGTTTGAATGTTTACATTGTGAAGAAGTTGTGCACATGGGCAAAAGGCTTGTTCATACATGAAGTCAAAATATCACTGTCCAAACTGAATGGATAATTTATGGCAATTTCAGGGCAGTTTGCCATTCTCTGGCATAAGTGAGGATGAGACACTGAAAGAATGGGTTGTCTCTTCCTCCTCCCCAAGAAAGGCAGAGATCGCACAGCCTCAATCTTTATACTAGATATGGTTTCCAAAAAATCCTTCTTTGTTCCTTCTGTGCCTTGCCCAGGAACAGGGGTCTCCTCTAGATTCTCTTTGCTTACTGGCTAGTCTTGCCTTGCCAACCTCTTTTAGATTCTAGCTTATACTGCACAGTTTTCTTTCCTCTTCTGACCATTACTTTTTCTTATTTCCATACAGTTAGTTGCCGAGGTATATACAAGCAGAATGCTACTTCTCAGATTGAACCAGCCTTAAATCTTTATATGGCTTTTCAGGTTGCTAATTTTAGAATGCAATTGAAGTTTGTTGCCCAAATTTATTCTGTGGTTTTGAAAACTTCCCGTAATATTGTTGAAATAGAGCAAGCCTTAAGGAATGGTTTAATTAATCAGAACCTGTACATTTTTTCTCCTTCTTTACTGCTGGCAGGGTGGTTAGGCAAAACAGAAGATATACACAATCTGTTTCTGATTGTGGAGTTGCTTTCAAGAGATATCTTTCTGTGATTGATTGTTCTCTTCACAGAAAATGGATTTGCAAGAGACAAGGTAAATTAAGAAGTTGTTTTTGCCTCTCAGAAACAGATGCACAACTTGACTCTGGCTATAAACTAATGTGTCGTCCCCCCCAAAGAGTTGTAAGTCATATAGTTGTGTTATTTCTTGTGGTTTGTCCCCATTGTCAATATTGCTATCAGTATCACCTCATCAAACAGATGACAGTGCTTCAAAAAGATGTGAAATCTGTTTGACCAGATCAGCACTGGACACGAAATGACAATATGTAATGAGTTATAACAACTCTATCATACCTCCTTAAGCTCTCTTAAAACCTATTGACTTTCTCTGGCCATGCAGCCCTCCTGATTTCAATGAATTTGACTCACAAGTATGCATATTATTATTTATTTTATTTGTGACTTCTGTCCCACTTTTCTTCATTAAAATATACTCTTGACAGATCACACTCACCATTTTAATAAAAAAATACATTAAAACAATAAAAAGCTGCAGGCCAGATCCACACATTTAAAACACTCACATATCAATTTATGTTCAGTACCTTGGTAGTCGAATGGCTTGGCTCCTGAACAATCAGCTCCCGAACACCACAAACTCAGAAGTGAGTGTTCCAGTTTGCAAACGTTTTTCAGAAGCCAAACGTCCAACTCAGCTTCTGCAGCTTCCGATTGAGTGCAGGAAGTTCCTGCAGCCAATCAGAAGCCGCACCTTGTTTTTCACACCATTTCGGGGGTCGAACAGACTCCCAGAATGGATTAAATTCGAGAACCAAGGTACCACTGTATATACTGATTCTTCTTCTTTACTTCTAGGTGGTCCCATTAAACACAGTCCAAAAGCACAGAGTTTTCTAGATACCTTTCAGATACCGTACCTTTCACTGTAGTTCTTCAAGTGTCTAAGTACAATCCTTAAATTCAATATCAGTATTACTTGTGTGGCCATTTTGGCACTGCAATCATTTGTGTGTAAATGTGTACTACTTCTGAAAGCTCAGGTCCTTGACAAGACAAACATTTGTACCAATGAAAAGGGGAATCTTTTAGAAAAGAAATAATTCGGTGAAAAAGACATAACAATGCATTGTTATCTGTTAGTCTTTCTGTTGCAACAGTTGCTCTAGTTTGGGGCCCTAAAATCAGAGTATATCTGTCCATTTGTGAACTGGCAGGTTGCACTTGCACATCACGAATCTGCACAATAATTAGGAGCAGTCATATTTTATACATTTCATTTAAGTTGACTGTTCCTTTTATTTTAAACAGATGTTGATCTCTTTACTGAATTCATTGGAAGAGCATTTTACCTTCCTGATGGAAAAGCTCCTAAGTATTCTACTTTAAATGAGGCTAAACAGGCCTGTTTAGTCTTGTCAACGTGTATTGGAGTGGTAGAAGCAGGGAAAGATTTCATGATACACACTGGTCTAAGCATATACAATACCAGGGACAAAAGTGTGAAAACCTGGATTAAATCAGGTATGCAGTACAAGTATGTGCAGAATTATTTACTTTTACCTCTTTGCTGAAATTTATATAATTTAACTCAAATGCAACTGGTTTGTCTGTATTATTTTTATTAATAACAATTTTGGGATGGGTGCATGCCTATTAATTAGAAAGTGACACTGGGCCATCCTAAATGAGGCAGTGGTTTCTACATACGGAGGGGATGCTTCAGATATATGTAATATAGAAGTAAAAGAAGGCTTGTAGCTCTAAGGAGTTGACCATCTAAATACTCGCAGTGGGCAAAGACAACAAAGAGACAAAGAACAAGGAATGTGGGCATAACAAATATGTGCCATCAATTGCTACACTATTTTCTGGTAGATACTAAATTCTATGTCATATTCATGTTTGGATGATTCAATCATGCTTTTTAACATCTACATGAAGCCATTGGGAGAGATCATTAGAGGGTTTGGGCTGAGTGTTCACCAGGTTGCAGTTGATACCCAGCTCTACCTCTCATTTAAATCGGAGCCAGTGAAGGTGTGTGAGTGTCCTGTGTGAGTGTCTGGAGGCAGTTGGAGGTTGGATGGCAGCTAACGGATTGAGGTTGAATCCTAACAAGACAGAAGGACCGTTTCTGGGATACAGGGGGCAAGCAGGTGTGGGGACTCCCTAGTTTTGAATAGAGTAACTGTGCTTCTGAAGAACTAGGTATGCAGCCTGGGAGTCATTTTGGACTCACAGCTGTCCATGGAGGCGCAGGTTAATTCTGTGTCCAGGGCAGCTCCATCTGGTATGCCAACTGAGACCGTACCTGCCTGCTCACTGTCTCACCAGAGTGGTACATGCCATGATTATCTTCCTCTTGGACTAGTGCAACACACTCTACGTGAGGTTACCTTTGAAGGTGACTCGGAAACTACAACTAACCCAGAGTGCAGAAGCTAGACTGGTGGCTGGGAGCGGCTGCTGGGACCATATAATACCAGTCCTGAATGACCTACTTTGGCTCCCAGTACGTTTCTGAGCACAATTCAAAGTGTTGATGCTTACCTTTAAAGCCCTAAACAGCCTCGGCCCAGGATACCTGAAGGAGCGTCTCCACCCCCATCGTTCAGCCCAGACACTGAGATTCAGCTCCAAGGGCCTTCTGGCAGTTCCTTCACTGCAAGGTTACAGGGAACCATGCAGAGGGCCTTCTAGGTAGTGGCGTCTACCCTGTGGAGCACCCTCTCAGCAGATGTAAAGGAGATAAATAACTATACAACCTTTAGAAGACATCTGAAGGCAGCCCTGTATAGGGAAGTTTTTAATGTTTTATTATGTTTCTGTATATGCTGGAAGCTGCCCAGAGTGGCTGTGGCAACCCAGTCAGACAGGCAGGGTAGAAATAATGACATTATTATTATTACTATACATCACGTCCCCTGTCCTAAAATTGGGTTTTGAATAAAATTGTCTTTTCGTAATCCATTTGTTATGCAGCTGTAGCCGGATTTATCCACAGATGTAGCCTACAATTCCTGTATTTCACTGTAATATAACATTTTACATCTTTCATAGATTGTGTCGCTGGAAGATTTGGGGAGAACTGTGAACAAATATGCCGCAAGTGTGGTGATGATGTGCCATGCAACCCCTATACAGGGTTGTGTGGTGACAGCTTGTTTTGCAGCAAAAATGACCCTACTTTCGCTTGCAAAAAAGGTGATCTGGGAACCCCTTTCTCTGCTTCTTCTTAAAAATTTCTGCTCCCATAAATATGAGAATCCACATTATGACAAAAGTTGTAGGAATATCAAACAGTGGTCATGATCCTTTTCTGGTTTCAGCTGAAATTAAATTCCTTTAAGTATATAGAACCAATCCTATTTCTTTGAAAGGTGTGAAGCTGAAATGTCAAAATGCAAGGGGGATATAGCTAAGTGAAGTAATAACGCTGCTATTTGTTACTCACAAGGTTGGAAGGAAAGATTAGCAGCCTTTTGAAGTCATGGATTAGCTCAGTACTTGAGTTATATTAAAAAATCAGAGAATAGAGATAGTATTCAGACTTCACTCAAAGTATCAAGGATTTGATAAAGATTGTAGGATAAGATTATTAATTATGTTTTATGATAACAAGCTTAAAATTCAACAAATTATTTGGCAATAATCCAGTATCCTTCTTTCAAAGACAGTATGGAAAATAACAGCATTAAGTTTTTCCAACAAATAAAACTGATCATGGGCAAAAAACCATATCATTGGCAATTCCACAATTTAATTGTTTCTTACAAGAGGCAGATGCTTTATATTTGTACTCTGGAAGAAAGTCAGCTACTTCTTAATCAAATCAAAATGAGTGCCATTTTTTTTAATAATACCATGTGTTGTAGTGATACTTTGGAATTAATTGTAGGGAGTGAATGATGTGAATGAGCTTGCTTGATTTCCGTAATTTGTCAATAAAGGGCAGTTTTTATTGTGTTGGGTAAAATGTCCAAAACAAGCCTCATGTCTTGTAATTTCTGACATTTAGCTCAAGAATAAAAGATCCACTTTTTCCTAGTTTATTTTGCTTACTAGTAAATCTTTGCATTTCCCAAAATAGTTGAGGAATGCCCATAATTGTGAAGGGTTAGTTTTTCAGATAATTTTATACAAATGAAGGTGCCTCATATCAGATGGTTTCAGGGAGTATAGTGCCCACCTTTGTTTTATTTTCCAAGCAGTCACTCCAGGATTAGAGGTTGCATGTTGTTCTTGTTATTATTATTATTCTTGTTATTTAAATTTATATAACACCCTTCATTCGTAGTTCTCAGGGTGGTCCACAACATAAAAATAGAGTGCATTTTGCTGTTTGATTGACATATTATTTCACTGCTAACAAGAAGGGTTCTGCTTTAGCACAGTGATGGAAGAGAAGAAGACAGCTGTATGCTCTGTGGTACCTGAAAAGTGCACACTGGTGGAACCTGATCTTGTGAGGTGGGCCTGGTAAATAAGGCTTGAAGCATGTTTCTTTGATCATATCTCTGAGATTTCATATGTATCTTATGCGTTTGGTCTACATAGGTAGTAAAACATAGTATTACATATAATATTTAGGCTAGCTTACCTGGAAACAATTCACCCTGTATGTGTGTGTTTACATTTCAGGGACCTTGATTGGTGGGAGATGTCCTGTTGAAGATGGCTGGGTGTACTGGCATGGCAGCTGTTATTACTTCCCCAAAGCAACAGAAAATACATGGTTCGATGCAAGAGATATGTGTAGACGATATAGGGACGCAGACCTTCTCTGGATATCTAGTAGAAACGAGATGGTATAAGCCTGTGTTTTCACATTATATATATTTACTTGTATGACTTTGGATATGCCATGTGGCAACTTCAGTGGGAAATGCCAGTTTGGGGGATGGTTTTAAGCTGATAAACAAGTTTTTGTAAAATGTCTGCCCCCCATTTCTACACCACTCTTTCATAGGTGTTCTACTTTTTAAATTATTTAGGATTCACTTCTTACTATATTGCCAAGAGGAGTCTATTGGATTGGTCTTTATGGTGGTCTATTTTGTACCCATTTGGAGTGGTCAAAGGCTACTGTTTTATACACAGATTTAATATGGTAAGTTGAGTGAGGCCCACAGTTGCTGCTGCCAACAAGAATAAGCACCCACACTCTGAAATTTACAACAAAGTTGAATGTCCCAGGCTGCTCCCAGACTTTGGAACCCCTTCCCTCAGTGCCGGATTTATGTATAAACTAAACAAGCTATAGCTTAGGGCCCCACTCTTTTGGGGGCCCCAAAAAAAATTAAAGGAAAAAAAACTTGGATGTATGTTTCCAAAATATAAGATAAAAAACAAATAAAGTAAAACCTACATACAGCAACAGTGTTTTGTATTGTGTGGGCTCCTATTTGTTATGTGTAAATGGCTTTAGATACCTATTAGGTGCATAAATTACCATATAGCATATATTCAACACAAAAAAACAGCGACAATTGGTTGTTGACAAAGGACAGCTGGACGTATAATGGGTCCCATTACCTTCAGTAGCTTAGGGCCTCATCAAACCTAAATCTGGCCCTACCCTCCCTAGTTAAGCTATATTGGCTCCCTCCTTGTTGTCCTGCCAGCAGGTGAAGACTTCCTTGTTCCAACAGGCTTTGGGGCACTGACTGCTTTTAATGAGACGGCTGCTACCATTCTGTTTTTATTGTAATAGTTGGTAATGTTTTAATAGATTTTATTTGTGTGTATAGTTTATAATTTTATCAATGTTTAATTTTTCAAATTATTGGTGATATTGGCAGTTCTTATTTTTATCTGTAAGCATCCTTGAGTCCCCTCAGGGGAAAAGGTTGCATATAAATAAATATATCATAATAGTTCTAAGGCTCATGATCAGCCCCATGTTCCCTCTGAAACTTAAAAGTAGCTCTACTGGGGATACATTGTCCAGACCTATTTGCATAAAATCCTGGTAGACTCACATTGCTGAATGTTGTTTTTGTTGTGTGACACTAATATGCTGCTAGAAGCTGCCAAACTCAAAGACTCATTAGAGGAATTTGAAATGTGGCTCCCCCCCCCCCAAAATGTATTTACGAAGTGTTCAGAGCATGTGTGAATTCTGCTGCTTCCATCTACTATGTGGTATTTTTGACACTCATTCCAGGAGACCACTAGCTGCACTACTTACTGCCCTCATTCACATGTCATGGTACAGGAAACTGGCTTACGGTGACCACACAAACATGCAGCTTGCAGCTGCTTTGCTTTTCTATGGCCCTTTTCCTTCTGTACCATGAGCCCAAGTTTGGACAACACACTAAGCCAAATGTTTGGCTTTCTGTGTTGTGTAAACCAGGAGGCTATGGAACAGAAAGCAAAAGTTTGGGCAGTTTCACAGATCATATAATGGGATGTTATGGCTAACTTTAGCCATACATAATTATGTATTTACCATGTGTATGTTTCATGCTTTTCCATATGTGTGTGTGCATTATCTTTTCACATATTTATATGCAATATTTTGTTTTCTTAACAAGATACTTTGTGAAGTAGCCCTTAATAGAATACAAATGGGCAATAGTAACTCATTGAATACTATTAAAGTTTGTAAATCTATTTTCAAAATAACAAAACTTTTTCTGTGTGTGTTTCTAAAAATTGAGGTTACGTAATAATTCGTGGACGTTCTTCTGGAATTGCTGTGTGCAGCTAGATGTTCCCGAAGGTTCAATGCCAGGAACTAGTTGTTACAGGAAAAAATCGTGGGTTTGCAAGAAAAGAGAAGAGGGTAATGTGAAATACTACTACTGATTTATGTAAAACATTAGAAGACATACAAGAAGATAGTTAAATTTTAAAAAGACTTCCATGCCAATTTCAGTATGGCCACCCTAATACACAAATTGTTGAAATTTAATTAAAACCAATATTTTGTGCATCAAAAGTACAACTCTCTTTTTTTACCCAAATTGCTAGCCCAGTAAGTTAAGATCAGCTTTTCTTGTGGGATCTGAATTGCTTGCATAATCAGATTTTACTTAGCAAATTAAAATTCTGAAAGAGTTTGAAATATTTATATCACCATGCTTTTAAGAAGCTGATAATAATATAGAAATTGCAATATAATTGTGGGAGTTTGCATTAGCAACCAATGGTAGCATAAATTTAAATTTAAGGCAAAGTTGACTAACTTTTTGCATTGCTTGCTTGCTTGCTTCTTTCCTTGCTTGCTTCCTTGCATTTTTGTTTGTAAAAATATTTATATACTGTATTTCTATTCATACAAAATATTAAAGTGGTTTACAATCACAGTACATTAAACCTTACAGTTAAAACCATATAAAAAATTAAAAAACATTCTTCCGTTAACTATTGTGGAAAGATATATTCTTAGTTGCCTGCATAGGCTTGATGGAATAGAAGAGTTTTAAGCAAGCATTTAAAAGTTGAAACAGAAGGTGCCTGCCTACTTAATTAACTCCTTATAATCTCCATTTGTGGAGGGAGGTTTGGCTGGCGCCTTCATTATACACTTTCAGGGGCCAGGTGAAAACATGCCTCTTCAACCGGGCCTTTGGCTGATTGACATCTGATGCCGTTTTAAATGTGTTTTTTGTGGGGGAGTTATTGCTTTGTTGTTGTTTTCCCCTTCACTATGTATTTTGTGGTTTATATATTCTAACTATGTTGTGAACTGCCCTGAGATCTAAGGCTGAAGGGCGGTATACGAATTTAATAAATCACCATCATCAGTGCCTGCAGCAGTTTTTGGGAGGTGCTGGGCAAGCTGTCCACCTTGGCAAATGATCCAAGGAGGCAAGCCTCTTTTTTGGCAGTGCAGGAGATTAAATTGTCTGGCACACCTGCACCAATCCACCATTTCTCTGCATCTCAAGCCAGCATTCTCTTCAGGGCCTGGCTGGCCAGAGGAGCAACAGCACTGGAACAGTGAAGATGCACAGTGCACCTTCCTCCTTTCCCCCATCTGCCCAGGCAGACAGGCATGGGTCTGTTCCAACTTTCCCTGCCTTTTTCTCAGGGCTAGGCAGAGTATTGAAAGAGCAGCACACGAAGCAGACATTGGCCACCGCCTGGGGGAGGTGAATGTCTTTGATTAGGTTTTCAGTGCAGCTAATCTGAGGAAAGATTGGGAGGGGGGGAGTGACTAAGATCTATCTTCCAATTCCAGCTTTGTCAGAGGTTTATATCCTGGTTGCTCAGAAGGTCCTGAAGATTCTCAGAAATGTAGAGAGGAAGAGGCCTTGAGGTTCAGCAGTAGATCCACTTCCCCCTTTCCTTGCAGCTTTCTTGTTGTTTAGTCGTTTAGTCGTGTCCGACTCTTCGTCACCCCATGGACCAGAGCACGCCAGGCACCTCTGTCCTCCACTACCTCCCACAGTTTGGTCAAACTCATGCTGGTAACCTCTGGGCAGCCAAAAAACAACATAGAAAAAGATGAGATTCTTCCAGCTCGCCTTTGGAGTTAGTGATAGCTCCTCCTCCTGCTATAGTTACCAAAAGTTTAAGAGGAAATGGAGATCTTATAAACTGAAGGTGCTGTGCAATTATCAGTCATGCATCAAGAGGGGCTCTCCTCATTTCCTGCAGGAACAATGCAAAGAAGAAGTCTTAGTCCTTTATATTCCAACTCTCTCTCTAAGTTGCAAATGAGAATTGGCAGGATCAAACACTCAACCAACTGTATGGTCTTAACAATTTTTTTTTAAATAAAAATAAACTTTAAAGGTAATTATCCCAAAAACTCTGAACTATCTGTCTGAAATTTGGCAAGCTTGACTCGTTTTGTAGGGTCTACCATGTTTCCAAATATCCTGTACCTGTGTTTCAATACAAGGATGGTATGGCCGTTTTGGTTTCCCAGTGCAAATCAGTGGGATTTCCAAATATTTGTCTGCAGAATCCAGGGGTTGAGTCCGGATTGTCCCAGGTTGGGACCAGTCCAAATCACTGAATTGGGTCCCGGATGAGTGAGGACACAAACAGCCCTAGTTTCAAGTGTTAGTTGGGTTTATTGTGTTTTCTGTTCTAGCTAAGTGGGACTTTTCCTACATTGCCTTCTGAATTAAAGGGGGGAAATAACCCTTGCCAGATTCCTGGTATAATTCATGGCACTTATATTTTTCCTTTTTGCTCTGTTCATTCATTCATTTATTTTACTGGTATGCTGCCTTTCCACAAAAAACCATGCTCAAAGTGGCACAACAAAGAAACAGGGATACATTTAAAACAAACTACAAAAACTATTTCATAATAACATAGCAAAATAATGACATAGTAAACATCTCATATGGGACGCGGGTGGCGCTGTGGGTAAAACCTCAGTGCCTAGGACTTGCCGATCGCATGGTCGGTGGTTCGAATCCCTGCGGCGGGGTGCGCTCCCGTCGTTCGGTCCCAGCGCCTGCCAACCTAGCAGTTCGAAAGCACCCCCGGGTGCAAGTAGATAAATAGGGACCGCTTACCAGCGGGAAGGTAAACGGCGTTTCCGTGTGCTGCACTGGCTCGCCAGATGCAGCTTGTCACGCTGGCCACGTGACCCGGAAGTGTCTGCGGACAGCGCTGGCTCCCGGCCTATAGAGTGAGATGAGCGCACAACCCTAGAGTCTGGCAAGACTGGCCCGTACGGGCAGAGGTACCTTTACCTTTACTTTAAACATCTCATAACAGCAAAAAACCACAAAACCCCACATTTCAATATTATAAATACAACAAGATTACATAAACAACATGAAGCATCCAATTTCAAAAGTATCAAGGGAGCTTCACATTTTCATTAGTGCTAAAAACGCCCCTTGCTTGATGTTGCTCATAGTTCCTTTCCTGCAGCAGTTTATAAGGCGGGTAAGGGATGGGATAGCTGGAAACACCCCTTCCTTTATGTTACTCACAGTCTCTCTCCAGCAGCTTCTTTTCATCTGTCTAGGCTTAATGTTTGATTGGCACAGAAGTCCTTCAAATGATGTACGTAAATTGCACGGCTATTTATCCAAACTAATTTTGTTTGTGTTCTAGAAAGTACGGATTTCATCGAGTTTGGTGGCTATTACCTCACTGGCATTGTCAACAACACTAAAGTAGTCACCCACGTATCATTACATGATGCCTTTCTGCATTGCAGAGACAAAAGAAGTCTTTGCACTGGAGTTCAAAGGATAAGAGCTACGTACATAACACTGATTGCAAAGCGTCTTGTATTTGTCAGGGGATCATTTGCAAATCTCTATACTGCATATTTGAAATCTGGTATGTAACAGTATGCCACACTTGTGGAATCCTGTGATAGGGATTAATTAACCCATTATATAAATGAATTGCTCTTTTTATATTCATACAGTACTATAGTGGCTAGCCCAATGACCTCTGGGAAGCTTCCAAGCCTACCTCCATTATTGTCCCTAACCAACTGGTATTCGGGGTACACTGCCTCCATATTTGGAGGTTCCCAATTAGCTATAATGATTAATAGCTAGTGATAGACCTATTGTTTTGAAATGATTACTGAGCACCCACTGAAGCTTCAAAAGATGCTTCAGTTTACATTTCTTCTAGACCAGGGATTCCCAAACTGTTGTCCATTGAATTGGTGGTGATGGCTCCACAAACTTATTCACATATTCTGTAGCATGTCTATACATTTGTGGTTGAAGACAAGAGATAGGAAGCAGTCCAGGTTGCCCAGCCTAGCTAACCCGAAAGTTAGCCCTAACCAGGCTTTTAACAGATCCTGAAGTAGGCAGTTTCCAAGCTTTGTCTAAACCTAAATGACAGACAAACCCTATCTCAGCTCTCACAGGTACTCAAGCCCAGACTGTCAGCTTCTAACTTTTAACATCCTCCTCCTGATTGGATGACACTCCATCCACCCCTAATTGGTTTCTGGGTCACCAGGAGGCTGGTCTAAGGTTTGTGTCACACAGTTGTTTCGTAAGACTGTTCAGTTTTTTTGCAGCGCAGCGAGGAGATGCTATTATGTAATTTTCACCATCCTGCTTAAAAATAACAAAATAAAACATTATGGTCATTTTAATATGCCATTATAATTGATCTTTGAAATCTCTTTTGGCAGCTTGCACACCAGGCTATTATGGTCCTGATTGTAGTATAAACTGCACCTGTAATGGCACTAAGAACTGCAATCCATTAACTGGAGAATGTGCAGAAAACGAGCAGTGTAACGAAGACTTCATAGGAAAAGATTGTGAAGAAGGTACACAATTTGCAGTCCTGTTGGTTGGGTGGCCCTCCCCAGACTGATCTGGAGGGGAGAGAAAAAATGAGCTCATTGATCAAGGTGACAAAGCTTTTATGGAAGTAGCAGTGTAAAAGAATTAATCCGTTCTTATTCTTATCACCTAATAACAACAGTGTCCTGTGAAAGGATGTGCTACTTCCCCTGTTCTACTCTTTATTGACAAGCAGAGTAAGAATGGTGAAAGGGGATGTTACTGAGGAAGAATTAATAAGTCAGAAATTGTAGGACTCGGGTTTGTCTGGCAAATCTGCTGAGCAACAAATGAGAAATCGCATGGGATTTCTATGACTAGGTATCCTCATGTCTTTGTGACCAGTAAAGATTTGTCCTACTTGTGACTCATGGTTGATCAGACCTTGAGTCTGGGTAGGATCATGCAGAAGGAGCCCCACAACATACCAAATAGTGAAATTCTAGTTATAAAGTTTTATGAAATCCAGTAAATAGCAGTAGATTAAAAACCTTATCCTAAACTGCACTCAAATTTACAACTCACAAATGATCTAGTTGGCCAAACTAGGTGTAGTGAAGATTTTGATGCCAGAGTCCTGGTAAATGCACATTTCTGCTTCAGAGTTATCTGCTGTATTTTCCAAATTGCTTTAAGCTCAAGGCTAGCTTCATACAGCAGTCAGCAGTTAGGGAGAGATAAGGAAGCTAGTTTTGTAATGTGCCTGCAAGAACTAACCAGAGCACGTCTGTGCATTTAGCACTTCCATTTCCTTTTTCATGGCCTTGTCAGCATTCTGCTTAGAAAACATGGGCTGTTTTTCCATCTTCATGCACACTAATGCCATCTTCTGTTCTCCCATGGCTTTCTGGCCTGCTACCTATAGCAAGGATTGCCAAACTTTTTGGACCCAGTAGCACATTTGGAATTTCGAGAGAAAGTCATTAGCACCAGTCACACTATGGCTGCCATAAGGTTGTGGCTTGACACAAAATTGGTATTGCTAATATTTCTACATAGCCAAGTTTGGTTGACCTGGGAGACCAGGGTTTAGATCCCCACTCATGAAGCTCAGTGGGAGATATTGGGACAGTAACTGTCTTTCAACCTAACTTATCTCACAGGATTGTGTGTGAGCGAACTGTGTCTTACCTTGGAGGATATAACAACAACAACAACAATAGAATAACGACACCCTTTTGCTTCATAACTTTTTTCTAGGAAGACTACGTATGTTCTTTTCTTTTTTTAATAAAAGCTCAGAATCTAGGACTTCTACCCAGGGTCTGGTGTCACCGTGAAGGCCTTTGTAGGTGCCTGCAGATGCTGGTCTGGCAACGTCTGACCTGATCACGCCTACCCATTCAAACACTATTTTGAGTATCATGCATGTTAATGAAGCATGCCATACAAGCATGTCAATCAGGTGCCAAAATGTGTCTCATGCACAAATGAATGACATGAATTGATTCCTACCTGCTTCTGTGGGATTTCAAATCATCCATCTAGCAAAAAGGGCTGATGCGATCTTTAGCAGATGAGTTCCTCAACATGAAGTTGGGACGTGTGAAATGTATTGTTTTTTAGCAGTAGGTTTCCTTCTGCATATGGGTTATCAAGATACTGTTGCATTCATACGGGGGACGGCGCGGCACTGAGAGTCGATCGCTACTGCCGCTGAGCGAAGCCGCGAGCCATAACTGGAGAGCGCTGACTTCCTTCCTTGAAATTCGGACTGAAAAAAAGAACCCGTGAGTAATTTGGAACTGAGCTTTAAAAACTTTTACCTTTTGAATTTGAGACGACCGGGGGGGTGTGCCAAAAGGAAGTCCCCATCCCCCCCCCTTGCAGACGATCCAGAGCAACGATATAAGAGCTAAGCTGGAGTGCCTACCCTGCAAAGGGTGAGTTTTAAAAAAGACAGTAACTTCCAAGATTTGGAAAAGCAAATTTAAGCAGGAGAGTGGAGTGTTGGAAGAGTTTCTGTTTTGTGGTAAACAACCCTCCCTCCCGAGCCCGGGAGCGATCTGCTTTGGAGCCTGTATAGAGGAGCAGAATTTGACAGCTGTCAAAGCTGTCAAATGGACTGTTAATACTGAAAAAATTGCTACTTAAGACCTCTCCGGATAAAAAGGAGTTACAATCGAACTAAAATTTTGGGAAACAAAGAAACAATAATAGGACAGAGGATTGTTGGAGAAAAGACCATCCAGTAACCAGATTCCCTCTAGGGGGAATTCTGTGGAATTACAATGGCTGTGGGTGGAAAGATACTGAGAGAAATCGAAAGGATGTTTTCACTGGTGGGAACCTTACAGGAGCAGACTACAGCTATGAGTAAACAACTGACGGCCTTGGATTTGGAAACAAGTAGCTCTGCTGAATGTAATGAGGACTTGAATGAGAAAGAACCCACAGCTGAATTTGAAATAATAAACAAAGAAGAGGAGAAGACAAAACAAGAAAGAGAACAAGTTATGTGGGAAAATACTAACCAGAAGCCGATATTTGGAGAATACAAACAAGGAGACCATTGGATGGAATCTATTCCAAGCCTACGAAAGATACAGAAGATGAAAGTGGAGGCCCTGGGAGTTTATGGAACTCAGGAACTCGAAATAAAGAAGTACAATTGGGGCCTCCACATAGACTTTGATTTCGACCATCACCAAGACTCAGGCCTTGTGGAAATTCCTCAGCAGTTGCTTATAAATATGGGAAGAGACTATGGACTGATTGGATTGAATGTTAATGAAATCTTTCGAGACTCGGTGACTGACAAAGAGGACTACCAACAAAACCGGCGGAGAGGGACTGAAATAGATTGAGAGCCTCGGATGTGCGGAATCCAGGCTAAAAACTGTTATTTTGGACATGTCTTGGGAAAGGACGCAAAGCGGGGATGGGAGGGAGGGAAGCATAAACTTAAACAACACTCAAGACCAGGGGTTTAGTAATAAGGAAATTACTTAAGAAAAAATGAGAAATCGAGGGAAGAGAATTGGGGTCCAACTTAGGGAAAACTTATTTTTTGTTTCTATAAAAGGACTAATATTAAGAAGGAAGAAATGCTAACTTGCTGACATAAACCTGAGAACAGGGATGCAAGGGAGGGGGTGGGGGGAAGTCAAGGACTAGGGTTAGAAAATAAGACTTTTTGGAACTATTCATGTTTGTTGTTGTTGTTGTTTTCTATGTTTGTTTTGGTGTTATGTGTTTTGTTTTTGTCTTTATAAAATGTGAAAACCCAATAAAAATTATTAAAAAAAAAAAAAAAAAAAGATACTGTTGCATTCATCAGGTGAAAGTTTTTATGATGTAACAGATAGTTATTTATGCTGGCTTGGGGTGCTTTCACACTAGGTGTGTAGTATGGAATTACCATGCCTCATTCAGTTTTTAAGGAGCATCCATATGATGAAGTCATCCCATATTTTTATTGTGTTTCTTCCTTTTTTTTTTCCTTTGGACCACAGGAAGTTCTGACTTCTTTTTTTTTTTTTTTTTTTTGAGAAAAATGAAAGAGCCATGCAATCTCTGCAGGTATAGATGTCTGATGCTACCCTTCTCTCTTTTTAGCCGGGTGTGTTTTGGCATGGGCAGTGAAGGGCTCACTTTCCTGATACATCACCACTCAGCATTCATTTATTATAACATATGTACTGGACACTATTTTATGACCCCAATTTATTTCTGGCATCAAGTGGGTAGTGGATTGAGTATCAGCCCTCTGCAAGCAGGCTTAATTGTTACAACACTTCTGACCTGGTGGTGTGGTGGGGGCAATGACTTGGAGATTATATTTGTTTAAAATGCTGCTGTTAATTTCTCAGGTGTGATTAATCTTAAGTGTCCAACAGATCCTGGATGGTGGTACTGGAAGGACAATTGTTATTACATAGAGACGGTGAAGCAATTCACTTGGGAAGGAGCAAAGGATTTCTGCAATGCTTATTATGAAACTGAACTTATACGACTGCCACTAAACAAAGAGGAAAAGGTAACATGCATAAACTGACACAGTTCTGGAATGGCATAAATAATGAGAAATAAGAGTTTATTTATTTATACCCTGCCTTTTTATACCCTGTCAACTGAAAAACAGTACCTTCTCCTATTGGATACAGAAGTTAAACTTAACATGCATTTGGAGAGCAAGAGAATTTTCTGCTACTATTTCAGGCCTGACATAGGAGTCTTTATTCTGCTCTAGAGTGGGTGTCTGCTGATGTTAAATATCATATAATGCAACCAATTTTCCTATATCAAACCTATGATATATGTTAAAATATGAAGAAAGGGAAGACAACGTTAGGGAAAACATGTAGACTTGTTTAGTCCTGGAGCATAAAGTAAGTAAGTGGCTATATCATTATTTGCCATTGCTCTGTCTTGACATAATTGGCAGTGTTACATTATAAAATCCTACCCCCCCCCTTTGCTGAATATTTTGAACATTCAAAAAGATCCGAACAATGTGTAGTAAGGAAAGGAACATATTGAAAAATCTACATTGCATTGTTCATCTACTTGTTCAAGTTATATGTTCTTGCTTTAATTTTTGTACACCATTTAGAGATGCCATTTTATATATTAAGTGATATAGAAATGGTCTAAATAAATAATAGATAAATAGTTTCAAACAATTCTTTTTTCAGATAGGGCAGATTACAGAACTATGCTGTTGATGTTCAGTATGTCTATCAAATAAGTGTATTCTTAATCTGCAGGTCTGGCTGATGTCTATGATAAAGGATGCTATATGGACAGACTCAGCAGTGCCAAAACTCAAAGAAATGACTAACTCGTAAGAGAAACTACTGCTTTCATTAATGGTTTATTAGGCAGGTTTAGTTGTCTAGCTGATTATAAGAAATAAGCACCTGTTGGGATGTTCATCAGTCATCAGATTTTATTGGTCAACCAAATACATGTACAGGTTATAGCCAAGAACAAAACAAATAAAAACAGACAGGTCTTAAAAACATATTATAGCACATATTATCAAAACATTATAAAACACTTCACAAACTCAGGTGGGAAACTCAGGGCACGACAGGACTCCAGGGCTTTCCTGAGTTGAGAAGCTTTTAGCGCAAGCTTTACTGTGTTAAACATAACTAGTTTGTTTGAGCTAGACAGCAGGTATTTGATGTTATCGTTGCCTTCACTTCTTCCATATCCTGTCTGACCAATAGTTCCTGCAAATGCTCTTTAATAAACCTTCAGCTAGACTGCACATTAGATGTTAGGAGGGCTACTGGATAAAAACCAAATTTTTGAAGCAATATATTATTACAGCTTTCTTTCCAAGTAGCCTTAGAGGGCGATTGCATCTGCTCTGCCACACATAGCTTGACCAGCTCATTTACTGAATAATAGTCAGCAGAGCATGCGACTCTTAATCTCAGGGCTGTGGGTTTGAACTCCAAGTTGGGCAAAAGATTCCAGCATAGCAGGGGTTGGACTAGATGAACCTTGTGGTTCCTTCCAACTCTACAATTCTATGATTCTTATTTTTGATCAGAATGGAACATCCAGTGGTTTTATTGTAGCAGCAACATTTGAAACAGACTGTGAAGGCAGGACAGCAGGCAATGTTTTGAAATTTCAGACATGCTACTGACAGTATTTAGCAGCCACCTGTAACATCATTTAGTAAATTGTCTACTAATTATTAAATGATCAAGAAATATGCCATTGAATGGCAGGGGGCATTTTTGGATACAGTGTTGTCACAGATTTAGAATCCTCAGTTCTAATGTAAAGATTTGCCATTCAAATTCAACATATAAATAGAAATTACAACATTTTAAATTTCATCATTTCAATTTTTTCTCTGATATTCATTTGTATAGCCTTCTTTTTAAACTTTATATTTTTCTATAATTACCTTGCCTATTATATACTATAATTTAAAATATTATCTACTATTGAAGGAAGGTGAGGACAGGTGACCCCCCCAAAGTCCCGAAGTCACCCCCCCCCAAAGCAGGCTCAAAGCTTCTCAAAGCTTTTCAAAATAATTTCTCAGCTAAAGGCATTAGCTAAGCATCTGCTCATTTGCTCTGCAACAAAGGTAGCTGAATAGAACAATGCTTTTTCTCATTTTCTTGGCCAGTTGTCAATGCCAAAGCAGGACTGGGAACTGACTCTTATCTCATTCAGTTGCAACATCTTGAACACGCTGAGACGCAAGGCTTCTCTACCCCCTTTCCTGGGAAGGATGCCAAGAGTCCCAATAGTCCCAAGACAGCAGCTTTCTGTACATGCTCAGAGAAACTCATGGGAAGGACTCTGGAAGAGGAGGAGAAAGGGGAGGGAACTGGAAGGGGAATATATACTCTGTGCAAATGACTATGAACCCGTGCTTGTTTGTGACTTATCACACTTGCTCCTTCTACCAGTTCATGGATGGTAGAAATAAAGCTTTTTCTCCGAAACTATTCCTTGAGTGTCTGTTGACTCCCACTTCCCTTTCCCGGGTGCAATATTTTTCCTACCCAAGGGCAAAGCCTCATAAGGTTACACTATAATTTAAAATATTGGTGATTTTTTATTTTTTTGCAGTGTTTAACCTTGCTTACCTTGGGTTGCATCCAGCTAAATCAATGTATGCACAGAACAACTTCTGCAAGTGCAATGCAACCTCCCCTCCTTTTACTCCCCCATGTTCCCTATACCCTGCCCAACAGGCTTGGGAGAGCTACAGAGCTGGTTTTCTTGTGATCAGGTACATTCTATTGTGCTTGCAGAAGTTATCCCACATGTGCAAGAGTTTATTTGGTATAACCTCTTGTGTGTTTGATTCTTAGTCAAGAAATGTACGGAAAAGCTTCTTCCACCTGCACACAAATGAGGAAGAACGGGGACCTTGAAGAAGTTCCGTGTTCGTTCTTTGCTATCTTGGCTTGTAAAAGAAGTGTAGGTAAGAGAAAATTCACAACAGTTCCCAACTAGAAGCAGGGATGTTTGGTGAACATGATCACCTCTGTCACTTTCAGTAATGACTTAACATGATACACACCTCTCAGGCTGATAGGCAGATTGGAACTTAGTTATCCAATGCCTTTTTGCATGTACTGAATGTTCTGAAGCCATGGTGACCTGACTTAGCATTCTGTTTATAGAACCAGCTGCTTGTACACTATGACCCAAGGGTCAGATGGGTGTCAAGATCAATTTGAAATGTGCCACCTGGGACAGTGCCCATTGCCAAGCACCCCCCTCCCCAAGCTGGGTTGTCTGCAGGCACGACATGCATCTACATCAGGGTGGTCCAGCACATGGCCCAGGGGTTACATGTGCCCCTTGAGGCTTTATTTGGTGGCCCTCGGCAACATATGACCCCCCCCCCACATCCCTTGCACCACCTTCCCAAAGCCTGTAAGCTTGGACTGGACTTTGGGACGAAGGTGTGAGGGCTCCTAGAGTCCTCCTTCCTCCTTAAGCCTACTTAGTGCTTCCCCAGCTTGGGGAAGGAGGTGGGAGGATTCTAGGACCCTGCCAGAGCCTATGGTCTCTTTCCCAATGTCTAGCACCTTGCTTGTCTGGCTTTGGGAAGGCAGCCTGCGGGTTCCATGTCTGAATACTCTTGTAGCCCACTTGGTATGAAACGTTGGGTTGCCCTGTATTAAATGTATTAATTGTGTATTTAATTATATTTAATTATATATGTACTCTTACAGGATCAGGTGCAGAGGAGCAGTATTGTACACAGACAGCTCCATAGTTCTGTTATTGATATCTCCACTTAAAAATATTAGGGAGTGGCTGATGGCTGAGACCTTAGAGACAGACAATAGTAGGATAGATAGATAAACATTCTGAGGTAGTATAAGGTAGCTTTCTATATTCCTATTAGTTCAGCAAAGCTACTTGTGCAGAATCAATTGTTACTTGCCCAGGTCTGTGGCTCACTGCAAGACTGGCTTACTGGTCTATATTTGGAACTACCACTGGCTGGTATCCCTGTACAAAATTCCCAGATGTTAGTCGGTTGTTAACTCCAAATGTTATAAATAGTAGTTTCAAGATGAATAATAATAATTCCAGAATTCAGTACAATGTCTTCCTGCACAGCAGTAAATTGTTCAGAAAAAGGTAAAGGGACCCCTGACCATTAGGTCCAGTTGTGACTGACTCTGGGGTTGCGACGCTCATCTCGCTTTATTGGCCAAGGGAGCTGGCATACAGCTTCCGGGTTATGTGGCCAGCATGACTAAGCCGCTTCTGGTGAACCAGAGCAGCACACGGAAACACCGTTTACCTTCCCGCCGGAGCAGTACCTATTTATCTACTTGCACTGTGTGCTTTTGAACTGCTAGGTTGGCAGGAGCAGGGACCGAGCAACGGGAGCTCACCCCGTTGCGGGGCTTTGAACTGCCGATCTTCTGATCGGCAAGTCCTAGGCTCTGTGGTTTAACCCACAACGCCACCCACGTTCCTAATTGTTCAGAAAGCCATCTTCAAATGCAACATTCGAACTTCGCTTGGTAGAAAAAAGGAATTAGGAAGCCAGCATATTATTAATTGGCAAGCCAGGTGCCTTTGTGTATAATAACGACACAAGTGAAGTCACAATGGCACAATATGATCAGGCAGATTATTCTAGGAAAATGCAAAGAAAGAAAAAAGAATTTTAAAATACCTTTCAGATGCCAAAATGTTCTGGCTATACCCTGGAAAGATGCTCATCTTGCCTGTGGGGGACAAAATGTATATACAAAAGGAGCTTGCAATATCAGCCTGCCTTTTAGAAGAAAAATGCACTGGAATCAGCTTTTGGAAAAGACAGTATGTACCAGTCAGTGGTAAAGAACTGATCTCAACTAACTCAAAGTCGGATGCTACATTCATGAAAACTGGTAACTGTCCACTTCTGAGTGTGGGGAAGGGTTATGGGAAGGAGTAGCCAAAAAAATGAGAAAAGGAAATTAGAAAGGTATGGAACACTGTTACTAATCATCACAGTAATGACCTATTTATGTACATGCTTCACAAAGTTAGCTGAAAGTCATATGTCTGCAGCCTGGTGCTGTGATGGTTTAATTGTTGTCTGTGTTTTTAATGGACTTTTAAATATTATTTTCATTCTGTTAGTGTTTAGCTACATTTACTTATTGTCTTTTCTATGTTTTTAGGTTTTTCTAGTTTGTCTGTGTAAGCCACCTTAAGTCCCAGACTAAGGAAAAGGCAGGATAAAAATAAATACAGGCAGCGGCCATTTCACGCAGGGGTTCTATTCCCAGGCACTGCAAGCATCGGGGGAGCACATATAAGCAGGCCCCGCCCCTTTTCTGCATCCAAAAGGACCTGCACATTGGTAATCGTGCATCTATTGGATGTGCCTAAAATGTGTAGCAATAACAATAATAATAAAATATAGCAGCTCTTTCTAAAATAGCCTGTTCCCATCACGTTCTAACATGAACAAGAAACAGAATCCAGGGCAAAGCTGTATAGATAAGGGTTGGCACTGTTCACAGTGCTTCTCATTAAGGTAATTGGGATAAAGTAAGAAAGCTATAATATAAGGCAGAATCAAGAAGAGGCAAAACCTGCTTCTCGTTCAGACATTGGAATCATCAAGGGCACTGGGCAAGTTTAACCATTTATCCCATGATGTCCTTGAGTATATGTATTTCGTATAAAATTTATACTGTATTATAAATGAATGGCTTTCATTTGTTCCTTTATGAAAAATTAATGTACTGCACATCCAGACTGGTGCTCAAAGGACATCTTCAAAGGAGGTTGGTGTAAATTGGCCCAAGAGGGTTGGGCTCGGGATTAGGAATCCAGCCTGCCAGTTTGCTATATAAATTTAAGCCACTTTAATTTCGCAAGCCTAAATTTCTGGAATGTGTTTGAATCCCTCTTGCAGAACACAGTCTGAAGGCGCCCAGTGCCTTTCACCATGACTGAACCCCTTGATTTTTTCCTGGCTTCCCTGCCTTAATTAATTACAGTGCTGTTAGAATAAACTTCATAGCCACCTGACACTTTTCATTTCCCTTTTTGAAAAAAGACAAACCAGGATAAAAACTACACTTCAAGACTGTATACACTACTTGAACTCCCCTTTTGGCAGGGCTAGCATAGACTCATATAATTGCAGAGTTGGAAGGCATCCCAGGGGGCATCTAGTCCAACCCTCCACAATGCAGAAAATGCAGAAATCTCAACACGTCGCCTCCCTACATTTTCCCACTAATGTGTCCTTTCAGTGCAGTGATTTCCAGGTGCACAACAGGGACTTTCTCCCCTCTGTTCCCTTTCTCACAAACTGAATGAGCAGAATACTGCCTGCACATCTTGCTTCATACTTGAGGTTATACAAGGGCTAGAGACTTGCATGATAAAAGAATTAAAAACTTGGAATCACTAAACTTTGAATAAAACTTACATGAAAACAAACAAACTGGGAATCTGCAGAATATTATTTTTTTGGGGGGGGGGACTGCTCCCACTTCCCATCCCCTATGGACACACACAGGAAGGAATAGGTAGACCCTATTTATTCGGTGCCCTTCATCACTGGTGGAAGAAGAGGAATGCGGGGGGAGCGCACCACCCCTGGCAGCGTGATCCCCAGGGTGCCATCGCGGGTGTCCCCTGCCCCCCGCAGGTGCGGTGCCCTGCCCCTGGATGTGTGCCCCGCCCCCAGGATGTGCGCCAGCCCCGCCCCTGCCTGCTCTCCGCCCCCGTTGCCGGAACATGAAGCTCCGCCACTGCTTCTCAGCACTCACAGGGATATTGTTTAACTTCATGGAATCAGATCTATATGCCTACATGCCTTATTGTATGGGGACTTAGATAGAGATTACTGTTTTTTGAAGGGGTGGGACCATAAAGCACTGTTCTTATCTAAACATTAGTTCGTTATTTTAAAATACATTTTCAGCTTGCAGAGAAGGACATTTTGGAGCCTTTTGTCAAGAAAGGTGCCCAGAATGTCCAGAAGATAAACCATGCAATAGATTAACAGGAAAGTGTGCTGGTGATGTGACCTGCTCAGAACATGATTTAAAGCTCTGTGAAATAAGTGAGTACTACAGTAGTGGGACAAAAGTGGTCTTATTAGCTTGAGGCTATTGATACATTCCATTTTTGCAATCTGTTCAATTTAATTTGTGGGATGATGGAACCAACGGTGTAGGTGGTTTTTCACCACGTGACAGCAGGCAGGAGCAAAGAATTGTGGGAGGCAAGAAGCTAAGCAGCTCTATCTATAGATGGGGACCCACTTTGTTTCAAAATAGTGAGGGGCAATGTGACCTTTTATTTATTGTACTGTTGCCTGCCTAGTGATAATTATGTGCATCATTCTTTTTGAAAATAAATATGTGCATCTTCTTTTTGAAAAGATCTGAGAAGCCAGTTTTGTTACTACAGTTGGACATACTTCAATGGACAGTGTTATTACATTCCTTCATATGGGCAGATTAATCATAGTGATGCAGAATACATGTGCAGCCTTTTTAAAGGAGCCCGGCTTCTACATATGACTAGCAATGATGAAAAGGTCAGTGACTTAGGCATCAATCAGGTAGATAAAAAAGAGACACTGTCATTCTCTGATTTCTTAAATGGGTTTCTACTGCCTTTCATCTTATGGAAATTTATTAGATTACATGGGGAGATAAAATAGTACAGGTTGCAATTCTGCCCCAGTAGGCCTTATTTCTGTTTAGGAGTGGGCTGAAAGTAGAGAAGTGTGAGAATAAACCTTTTTTAAAAAAATTGTGTGTGTGTGCGTGTTTGCACCTTTATATAGTACTTTGCTAATATTTTCTTTAAAACCATAAATTCAAAACAAGCTGCTATTAATTTTATATAGAACAAATATGATAAACTTAGGAATGGCTCATTGCTGAGAAACAAAAGAACTCTGAGCTATGTTCTGGAAATTCTCGTATTCACATAATCATGCTAATCTATTGTAATTTATTTCCCGGTCTTCTTTTTAACTGGCCGAAAACCTCCTAGTTTGCGCAGTGCGACATGTATGCAGTCTTTTGTTAAAAGAAATTTGTAACTGAAATTTAACTTCAAAAGATGTTGGATATTTTCAGCTGTTATCAGATGTTCTTGTCTTCTGTCACTATTAATCCTTTGCAGGATTGGGTAGCTAAAGTGATCTCTAAAATATTCTGGGTTCACATAGCTGGCCCAGCTTTCCAGCCAAAAATGTGGCTTTCACAGGAAGAAAAGCTAGAAGGCAGGTAAATTAAACAGCTCTCTTTTCACAAATTCCCAAATTTTGATTTACTAGAGAATAATTATGCCATAAGGCTGTGTGTGTGTATATATTACTTGTTGTTGGGAACCACATCATCCTGTAGTTTTGACATCATTCTGCAATCAAAAAGCAGATTACTTTAACTTTTTGAAATGTTCACCCATAAATTGTTCTATAGGAGGCTATGATACTGGTTTGTGCATTCTGAGTGTTGATTGTAATAACAAGGAGGTCTTTAATAGGAACAGTTTTGAACTGGATAGCAGTTGGAGAGGGAAGGCTTAAATCTTCCCTCCCCAGTCATTATACAGTGGTACCTCGGGTTACATATGCTTCAGGTTACATATGCTTCAGGTTACAGACTCCGCTAACCCAGAAATAGTGCTTCAGGTTAAGAACTTTGCTTCAGGATGAGAACAGAAATCGTGCTCTGGCAGCGCGGCGGCAGCAGGAGGCCCCATTAGCTAAAGTGGTCCTTCAGGTTAAGAACAATTTCAGGTTAAGTACAGACCTCCGGAATGAATTAAGTACTTAACCCGAGGTACCACTGTATTCCTGATGACAGTCTCTCCCACTTCCACTGCTGGTGATTAATTTCTTAAAATCCATTTCCATATATGTTGTAAACTTCTGTTGTTAAGCCTGAGAAACCCATAGCCCTTTGCACTTATGGATCCTTTGCTGCTGCTGCATGTGAATACAAAAAAAAAAAAAAGCTTTTTATGTTTGTTTGCTTGTTTGTTTGTTTGTTAATAGAACATGGCTCATGGGGAAACCCAGCCAGATGGGCAGTGTATAAATAATAAAATTATTGTTGTCATTATTATTATTTAACAAAATTATACTCCTGTGTTTTCTGTAAGATGATATTCAAGTGTATGATAAATAATTATATAAAGACCTGTTTTACAATATTTTGCATATAATTACGGAAACCTTGAAACAATCAACTCATGCTAAGGCAAAGACCAGTTTGTATCTAAAGCATTAGATTCAAGTATATGTTGGACCACTTAGTGTTCAAAATGCTAAATATTAGAGTATAACATTGGAATCAATCAGACTATTCATGTTCACTTTCCCACCCACAAGAGTTTACTATTGACCATCCTAAGCTGTTTATAGCATAAAGTGTGTGTTGTTTGTCTAGGTTTGTTTAGATATATGTCTACTTCATGTTTCAGGATTCTTTTTGATGCCGAGCAGTTGTGTCCTCAGATGCAACCTGCTGTGGCTTTTTTGATATCAGCTCCTTGTTCAGGAAATGCTTCATGGATCTGTCAAGCCCCATTAGGTGAGTTTAATGTTTAGCAAGATATTGGGAGTTTAGTTAAAAATCACTAAGCTACTTTCAAGTTTCATTGGGACTTCCTTTTCTACAACTGATACTGCCTGATCCAGGGGAGCTATTTGAGTTTGCATTAGGGTGCTATGTCTATACAAGCAGAGGGGTTAAAAAAAAATCATTACTGAAAGTAGTACTGAACCCTCACTTTGATAAGGCATTTCCTTTTTTTAATTATGACTTTCCTTGCAATTAGGTAATATTCTAAGGCATTCCTAATGGTTAACACTGGTTTCACAAACTATGAAGCAACAAAAAATCATATTACAATGTAGACAAAGTATTAATATGACATCCTCCCTGTAAACTACTGGGTGACAGTCACTAAATCCCGTATAGAAATCTAGCATTTGTTTGATTCTTTAAAAAGAAAAAAACCATGTTTCTGTCTCTCTGTGAATGAAAGTTTCAGAAACTAAAAGGCAACACCAAAAAAGCCTAACACATAGTACATGTGGTCTTTTATTGAGGAGCAGCGACATGACTTTGAACATTAGTCTGAGAAATCCTTGCTGGGGAGTGAGTAGAATTTGTTACCTTCTCCAGAATGGCAAACATGCTTTTCTAAAAATGCTACAAGGTACCTTTCTTACAGAGTTGTAATGAAGAGCAGTTAAAAAGTGTTGAATATAGATTTTTGATGGCCATATGGCAGTGGTTCCCAGCTGGGGGTCTGTGTAACTCACCTAGGAGGTCTGTGGCACATGCCCACCAACTGTCATTGACATCCCATTTGGGGGCACTGTGCTCTCGCACAGGTTACGTGACTCTTGTGGGAGCGTGGCCCAGAAGACATGTGGCCTAGTTTTGCTCTGGGACGTCTTGGAGGATATATATAATGAATATATGGATATATATTTCACATATGCATTCATATAACAAAAACTCCCACAGAAATATCAACATTTTCAAAAGCAGCAGGTCCATGGCTTAGCTTTTGAAAGTCCATGGTACTTAGCTAATTGGGAACTACTGCCATAGGGAATTGCCTGTAAACAACATTTTCAAAGCTAAGCAGATGTAATCTGTTGGCAGTTTAAATGGAAGACCACTGAAAGCCCCATGAAAGAGCAGAATATACATATACTGTATGGGTGCTTTACCTTGTAAAATGTACTCCCTCCCCAATCCCCATTAACTGGTGGGAAAGAAAGTTACATTTTATAAACAACACCCATTTGTTGCTGTTGTTTACAAACTCCAGCTGTGGGGAGGAGAGGAATAAGCAGTTTGGCAGCCTTATGCTCAGAGCTTTCCAAAACACCAAACATGAAACTGACAACTGTCAGGTTTGCATTTTTTGGTACAGAAAGTATTGATTTAAAGCGTAGAGATATTTCCTATTCTATTGATTCAAGAAGGTTCTGGAGCCTTCTTTGTGTGATACAAGCTGGTGCAAGCTGGAAGTTTCTAACTAACAAGTTTCCATTTTGCCTGGAAAGAAGCAGAAGGTTCCTGGTGTTTGGTTTATCCTTTCATAGAAGCTGAGTTAAGCTGCTTCTGTTATCTCTTTCTCTCAAGGTCATGGTGTCCTATAATAATACAGTAGGCCAAAAGGAGCCTGGGTTTCACTTTCTGACTCTTCCTTCTGGTGTGGTGTTCTGTACATAGTAGGTTTAGGTGCTAAGTTTTAGTCTTCTTGTAAGTGTAAGTTAAGTCTGCTGCAACTGGATTTCTTATGGACTGTGCCAATCCTGAAGAGTTGGATTTGTGACTGTTATGCTCATTTGCCTTCAGTAGTAAAAGAAAATTCTGCTGGATGAAGCTTATTGCCTCTTTTGAGTTATTTTTTGGGAACCCTGCAACATGTTTAAATTGCAAAACCACATGCCTTGTAGTGTGGTTGCCAAGTGGAAACCCCAAGCAAGGGAATTTGACAGGTGGGAGGGTGCCCAACTGTCAATCATGTGACATCATAATGACACAGTGTGATGGATGGGTTGGGCTTTCCCCCTGTCAAATTGGGCCTGATCCTGGTAATCATCTGGTCCATGGAGCAAAAAAAGAAAAAAAGGGGGGGTTCCCAACACTGACATATAATAAATACATTTTTAGAATAGTGAAGTTTTCTACGGGCTTACCTCCTAATTAGCAGTGTCTTGGGCACCGGGGTCTGGCCATATTTTACAGTGTAGTGAGGGCTTAGCATCTTTTCTCTTTCCTTGTTTTCACAGCATCTGAGCCAGTGGATGATCCAGAAAAGTGGTGGATTCCAGTAGTGATATCCACTTTAGTTACCACTGCTGTACTGGTAGTGACTGTGATTGTTACATTTAAATATGGGTTCTCTATTCAAAAAGAAGGAAATGAAGCAAATGATGTGAAAACGCCATCATCTTAAATCAGATGCCAAGCTTACCGTTCCATGGTCATACGGTTCTTCATAGAAGAAAGAACAAGCACTAATGTATATTGTTGGCCACCTGAGAAGCAAACTCTGTGAGCTCCTTTTGCCTTGTTCTTAAAATATTTTGAATTGTAGAGGTGGGTTTGACAGGTGAAATAGTAAGTGTAAAAGGCAAAGAAGCAAAAAAGGAATTGAAAATTTGTTCAGTGTCTTAACAGACTTCAGAAAGTGTCCAGGAACATGAATAAAGTTGTATAATAGATGCTCCTTCAGTGATTCAGAAGAATGGCTGTCTGCTTCCAGCACTGAGTTTCACAAAGCAGGAGTGTATTCAATAAGCAAAGACTGGTTGAACATAACCCTTCTACTTTACTCCTTCAAGTGTGTGTTCCTGTTTGTTAGATTTTTAAATAAACTTGAAGGAAAATATGCTCATATCCTCTAGTAGATTGTTTGAAGATAATGAACCTTAAAGCTTCTAGCTATCCATCATTGGTACTCCATTCACTTCATACCTTCATCAAAAGAATACTACGGTAATTCTGTAGGTTGTTTTTCAAACAACTATTATCCAAAAACTTTGGCATTATCCCTAGGACATAACGATGATGTGCTGCGCTACACTTAGTTTTGACTATACAAGAAAAAGGTAGGTTTAGGATTTAGAATAGATTATTATAATGATAATTAGGAGAGATGGGTGGTTTTGAAGGACATTATTTTTTTGTTCCTGACTTGCAAGTTAGTTTTTAGAGAAACATTTTTATTTGCATATTCTGGGGAGATGTTGTAATCAGTGGGGGGAGGGGGTTAGTAAATGTAAATAAGTGAATACATACATTGAATTGATATCAACTGCTGTTTAAATTGCTGCTATAGCATTGCATTTCTATTGAGGATCTGTTGTCACACAAAAAGAAACAGTAAATGTAATTCAAATTGCCTTTGAATGTTTGGCGGTTGTATTTTGGAACTTTAGGCATCCATACCTGAATGCCTTAGAATAAGTTTCAGTAACTGAAGCTGATCACATAAAAATTATTTGTAAAGGAAAACCAGGAAAATATCAACATCATACCAAACTGAAATTTGTAACACTTGGTACATAATAGCCAAAAGGATAAAAAAAAAATACTGTATCTGTGTAGGTCAAAAAAAATGGCAAAGTGGTGAACTACATCTTCCTAGACTCTTCTGCTGACTCAGAGTGGGGTTAGGGATTGGTGAAAAACTGCTACCAGTCAAAGTAGGCGGCACTGGGCTAGATAACTGGTGATCTAATGCAGTATAAAGTAGCTTCATAATGGCAGGCTGCTGATTCTCCTTTTGTATGCCATGCTGCTTTATCCCCATTAGAGGGCAGCAAACATTTCCAGAAAAACAGCTGAACTTCTAAAACTTTGTTCTATGGCCTTTGAATGTGCAAACTGCTTTGCGGCGTTTACCTCACAACCACCATGTGAAATAACTGTTCCCAATTTATAGTTCACACAACATATACATAGCCAAGCAAGCTTACTAACTTTGATTGTCAAGACAGAAGTTCAGCTTACTGATCACTGAATCATGCTGGCTGTCATGGAATTACAGTATTATTTTGCAATACAGTCTCAGCATGCAAGCTTGTTTCCAATTATTTGGGAGTAAGAGTTGTTGAACACAGTGGGACATATATCCAACTATAAACATGCATGTGATTAGGCTGCAAGGCTGGTACAGAGTCCAATCACAAGGTCAAAATAGATGTGATGCTAAATGTTTTGCGTTTGGGAATTTAAAAGTTGTTGTTGTTAAAGTTAAAGTTAACAGCAACCACCAGGCATCGATTTTGTCAGCACCATAACTTGTGGGGAAAATTTTTTTCCACCCTTTCGTGCCTGATGGAATGCAGCCTCAGTGGAATATCTGTGCCCTTGAAGCTGCTGCTACTTGGTGGAAGAAAGTCTCCCATTGGTAATATTAGCCTAGGTGGGGGGGGCGTGATTTTTGTTAAAACAAAATAACTTCAAATGCTGCATTTAGTGCAGGGACAGATTTGGTAACATGGTGCCCTGAGGACAAAATTTGGTGCCCTTCCAGCAATACTTATTTTTACAACAATTCCATTGTGGTACAGTTTCTTTTTATGGATCTCACACTATTGTTGTTCTTGTTATTTGCAACCCAATTGTGTGGGGTAACCGTCCACACCACCCAAAATCTAGTGTCACATCTGGATTTAACACCAGTGCCTGAATTGTTTGGGGAGTGAGTCCAATAAGCTCACCTCTTTAGCCTTCTAAAAAGTATAGCACTGCAAAAAGTGCACACCCCTCCCCCCTCCAGTTGCGAAAGAGGGAGCCAAGGCTGATTCAGTCTTTGCCTTCTCCACATAGGCGCCGACTCCATGGGGCTTGAGGGGGCTCGAGCCCCCTCAAAAAAATTTTTGGGGGGGCTCAGCCCCCCCAATAATCTCGGGCGCCGGGGGCGGGGGCTCCTGCCTCGCTGCTTCGCAGCACCACCGCCACTGCCAAGGCACTGCCGGGGGGAATTTCCTTCCTCCTGGCGGTTTCAGCCCCCGCGAGAACAGGGGAATCCCGACTGGCCACACCTCCCAGCCAGCCAATCGGCTGGCTGGGGGGGCGTGGCTTGCCCTATTTAGGGCCGGAGCCACTTTATTTGCATATTCATGAGCTTATTTATTATTCATGAGCTTTCCCGGGCCCCCCCAATATTTTTTATAAGTCCGCGTCCCTGCTTCTCCACCTGTGGTAGCCACTATGAAAAATTGCCACTATTAAGGTGAGCTGATGGGAGAGAGAACAGACAATGCTAAATGTCATTACTGCTTACCACCATTACAATTTAACTGGAGGCTGGGAACTTGCCTAGAAGCATAAGGTTTGCCTCTCCTTTCATCCTCCACACTGACTTAAACTGGTAAAATTTAGCTCCACACTCTCTATGGCTTCTCTGCCCCAAGAAGCTTTCTGCATCTTTACAAGAAGTGAGAATTGGCCCAGATGTGTGTGTTTTCCTCACCCTTGGTGCTGCATTGATGGCACAGGCAGTATGTGGGCAGAATTGCCCCTCTATGCCATTCCTAAGGGGAGCAAACTGGCTCAGATTGTGTACTTGGTAATCTCCATGACATCTTAGCCCACAGTATTATTTTTGCTCTGAACATCTATGTAAAAAGTACTGTGCCATCCAAAATATATCTTCTCTCACCTAATAAAAAATAAGAGGGGAGATATTTTTATTCTGTGGGATCAGTTTAACTACTGAAACTCTGACATATCTACCCCCTCAAATAAAAGATGGTCATACTCCATACATATAGTACGAAGCAGTAACTTGACCTGTGCTTCAAGTTGCATATGGAATCCACCCTACTTTCCTGTCTTTCCTTATAGAAGCTTTTCATTCATAGCTTAGGGTTGTCGCAGGCTGTGTGGATTTCCCTAAATTCTATCAGTTCCAATGTAACTAGGTTCTTTCTGTAAATGAGTGCCCTGAGGGAGAGAGTGAGGTGCTATGAGTAGAATTTCACTTTGCACAATGAATGCTTGGCTAGAGCCACTGTGAAGATTAGTTATAGGAAAGTAACTATTATATTTTCCCAGTCTTTAAAACTGGGAGGATTGGTTTCTTATCCTTCCTTTTCCTTTTCATGATACCTACAAATACTAGGTAAAAATAACTATTTCTCTGTTACTGTTCTGCAAGGGAATGATTGAAATATAAAACCTATATGATAGCAGGTTAAAATTTTTGAAAGACACTTCACAAATCATTTTTGTTGCTTAATGGAATACCATCAATTTGCATGTAACTCTTTGATAAGGAAATTAAGTATCATCACTCGTGCTGTCAACCTCTCAATAATTTTTAATCAATTAATTATCTGGCTTTTAAGTGATGAAATAATTAACTGATTACATGTAAATAAATTTACATATTATGAAACCCTTCTTAGTTATCCGGCTTTTAACTGATGAATTAATTGACTGATTAAATCTACATAAATTTACATATTGTAAAGCCTCAGTTAAAGTGTCTCTGAGGACCATGAAGGAAAAGTACACTTTCTCTTAAGTGTGTCAAAAGTTGCAACTTAATACATACTATACTGACTGCATCATTATATAGGTAGTCACTAGGTGGCACTGGACTTTACCTGGATGGAGGAATTCCTTAAGGAGACAGTGAAGTTCTCCCCGGCTTCCCGAGTGCCTTGCCCAATCCTATACGTTTATTCAGAAGTAAAACCCACTTACCAAGTGAGCATGTGACTGCAGCTCAAAACCACCAGACTTAAAAGACACATTGATGTTGATTGTTGTAGCAAAACGGTCACCTTTCTTTAAAAGTAGCTCTTGGTATAGAAATGAAAGTCTAAATGGTTTCACATACCTTATTTTTCAACCTGCTAGCTTTTGATTCAAGCTGGAGAACAAGCCACATTCCAGAGGTTACCCGCACTCGGGACATTGGGTGCAGGAGGAGAACGAATGCCTTTTTGTTACATGTCTGGACCAAGTACCCTTATCCCAGACTTTGGCTTGTTGCCAGCTCCATCAATAAATCGGTGGACAAGTGCTTTAGTAGCTGAATAACCCCACCAATTAATGTTTAACTGCGCAGTTTAGAGGTAAAGCAGATGCGCAAAAGTAGCACTTCCAAGGACCACCATGCACTTGATGCAAGGTTCCTGTGTCCTAAGCGGTCCTCAGATTCTACGTTTCAGGAGCTCAGAGGCTGACACGCCCTCCTCCAATTTGGAGAAGGGATTGCACGGTTTAAGGGAGTGGCTCTCTTCTCGCCTCTCAGAGAAACGTGAACAACTGATGGCTTATGCAGGCTTCATGTCATTGGTCCTGATGCCCCTCGCAGTACCTAGGCAGGCACGTCCGTAAGTTATTTTCAAGCCCGGGGGCAATTTCACGAACCATTAGCCCTACCTGTGCGCTTACAGGCCTGTGCTGGATTCAGGCCAAAAGAGCTAGCTCGGTTCCTGGCCGGAACCGAAGCCACCGTGCATGGGACGCGAAAAGTGCTGCATGAGATGCATGGTTTTAATGCAGATATCTGGGGGCGGAGAGGAGATTCTCGCTCAATGGTCCTAAATCCCTTTGCCAATGAAACGCCAGTAACAGTCTTTGCAGCATCATTTGCATTCTTTTCATGCTTTCTCATTGGGATGCTGGGGGTTCCTGCCTAGAAAGAAAAAAGGGGGGGAAAGGGAGACTGTCCTCGCCCCCATGCATGACAAGCAACTACTTAAGGGATCTCTGGAAAGTGCTGATCTGCATAAAGCCTTTAAGCGACACGGTGTGTCAGGCGGACCCGGCCGGCGTGCTTTTGATTCGTCTGCAGTTGCAGAAACGCTGCCAATTCGATCACAGCGTTAACTACAGTTGCAGTGGCTGGCCGCTGCTTCTACCGTATCTCACTCTCTCTCTCTGAAGATCCCCTCCTGCTCGCTCTCCTCTCCTTCCGACTTTTTTTTTTATTTCCTGTCCTCTGCGCGCGTTTATGTGCGTCTTTGCAACCGTTGCTGTTGTCTGGTTTGTTTCACCCCCCTTGTGACTACCGCAGGCTCCTCCTGCAATCTGCAAGAGGGGAAACTTCCCTGCAATAGCGGCTCGGGCTCTTCTCCCAAGTGTCCTTGCCTCCAGCCGAGATCCTGCAAAAAGCAACCTGGGCAGGCAAAAGCCACACACAAAGTGTCCATCCGCACCAGCGCACTCACCTCTCCCGGTTCCTCTCGCTCTCCAGCTTCAGGTTGTTGCTGTTGATGCTGGCTTCCGTTCTCTGGTCTTTCTGCCCTCCCTAAAACAAGGTAAGAAAGGTAGCTTTTGTTTTCGTTTCACCCTCTAAGGTTTCCAACCAGGAAGTAGCGCGCTCTCTCGCTAATCGATGCCCCTCTGGTTTTGGGCATTCTTTTATAAAGATGCTGGCTTGTAGAGAAGTTAACTTTCTACCCCCCGCTCATGGTTAGTAACTTTGAATGTTTACATATCCCTAGCGAAGACTTCAATTGCAGTTGCCAGTAGCAGGACAAGCGCTTGCAGCTTGAATAGTGCAAGGTGTGTGTGCCCTGAAAGAATAATTATGGGTCAAGCTAACTGGATACTTTTAACTGAAGTCCTTGTTCTTGTGTGCATCTGCAGGGGTATCAGAACGAAGTTGGGGGTCAGAACACTGTGGAACAGTATGGGTTGAAATTCAAGGGTTTCAGTGGGTCAAACCTAAAAGGGACTCAGCTAGATTGGTAAATAAAAAGCGATTTATATGCGTTGCATATGCGATATAACGTTGTGCCGCCAGATGGCGCTGTGAAGCCCCTCCTTTTCTCTACCTGTTTTCCCTGTTTAAATTTACAACGCTTTTAACTGAAACGCTTCTTTGATGTGTCTAGCTAGATCCAGCCTCAGTATAAGAGTTTTAGAGACAAAAGGTTGTTTTTTTTAATGACCCAAGTTTCTTCCTAAACCACAGTATTTTATATTTGCATCTCCCCAACCTTTTAAAGTATTTAAAAACTGTAGAACTATGATTCATTTTCTTCGAAATAACTATTTAATTCTCACAAATCCAGCAGCTTTAGCATAAAGCCATAATTTTTATTTCATGATTTTCATTCTCAGCAGCTGAATAACTTTTTTTAAAATAAAGAGCCAAGTACTGTTATGGTTTTACTTTGACATCTTTGCATGCATGGGGTCTCAGCAAGGAAGTGCTATGCTAATTAAATCAATGGTTTTGATTTACCCCCATACTAAGTTCCCTTCTGTCCCCCCTTTCTCTCCTCCAGTTATTAGTCTGTTTACTGTTCCATTAATGGAACCATGAATATTGTGATCAATAAAGGGATAACATCAGAGCATTAAAAAGCTGGAACCCTGAGGAGATGTGCAGTGACCGATTAATAAAGTTCAGCAATGTTTTGAATTGTCGACAAAAGCCGTAGCAAAGTATGCAAGGGCTTATGGATTCCTGTCTCTCAATTACCTAAGCCATTAAAATGTATATTTGTGACGCATAAAAAATTAGTATGTGTGCTCTCCAAAGCTAATCATACCCAGAGGAGACCCTTTGAAAACAGTGTTCTTAAGATACCTAAGCTTTTTAATTTCACTAGGTCTACTCTGGATACAATTTAGTTGGAGATCACCTTATGAGATGTTCAAAACCCTGCCACTTAGCCATGAAATCTTGGTATTTTTTTCACCCATCCTTAAAAAAAATTGCTTGCATGAATAGATGTAGAAACACTTTGTTCAACACATTGACATTTTGATTTCTTCTGGAGATTATGTGGAGGGTTCTTTATTTTTATTATAATTTATATAACAGGGATAAAAAAACTTTAAG